GGCACAGAGAGATTAACTAACTTGCTCAGGTCACACAGCTGGTAGAGGTGGGGTCAGGATTTGATGTTAGAGATTTTGCTTTTAATTACTACATCATACCACCTCCTTTCCGTGAACAAAATGGCCTCCTAAGTGATTGTGACTATAGTAGCCCATGATTTGGGAGGGGAGGAGGAGGAGCCAAGAGAGACACGGGAAAGTGTATTGGAAAATTCCCTTCTGCACCCCTCATTGTTTGGTTTTGCCCTTTCCTCTGCCGGCTCATGCCCCTTTTGTCCCGTGTGTTAGGGTTAAGATTTACTAATGTCATGTTCTTTCTTACTCCCCTCTCCCTGCAAAATGCCAAAGAGACTGAATCAAACTACACAATAAAGAGCATGGGAGAGAGAAAGACTGGGCTGGCTGTGGGAAAGACTTTGGGAGATGGGGTATCGAAGGGGGAGAAGTCCCAGACAGTGGAGGTTTGTGAGCCACACAGCAGTGTTGCTGTAGGTTACAAGGTCTTTTAAGAGATGAAACATTGGAGAACCTGTTCATTCTTCTTGGTTTCTGGACTGTACCTTATTATTATTTTTTTTAATAATTTTTATTTATTTATTTTTCCCCCAAAGCCCCAGTAGATAGTTGTATGTCATAGCTGCACATCCTTCTAGTTGCTGTATGTGGGACGCGGCCTCAGCATGGCCGGAGAAGCGGTGCGTTGGTGCGCACCTGGGATCCGAACCTGGGTCGCCAGCAGCGGAGCACGCGCACTTAACCGCTAAGCCACGGGGCCGGCCCTGGACTGTACCTAATTTTTAAACTGTGGCTCCGTGCAGCTTACATTTGGATTAGACCAGAGCAGGGAGATCAGATGATGATGGTCAATAATGCAGCCAGGGTGAACTAGGGGGTCCAGGGTTAAGGTTTGGAGAGGGTCTGTTCCTAGTACCCTTTGCCCACCAGGCCCTGAAGGAATCACAGACGATACCCCAGAAGGAAAAGGCAGCTCAGTCCAGCTTACCAGCCACAGCTGTCCCTGGTGTAAAGTGAGTTCCTTGGCTCAGCCTGGCACTGCTGACCTTGCTGTAGGTGGACTCCTCGGACAGTAAGCATGAAGGAAGTCTGAGACTCAAGACAGCCTCCCAGGGAAGTAGCCCTCTAAGGGACCAGAGCCACCCACACGGTCTCACTCTCCTTCCTGCGAAATGGTTCACCTCACACACTACCATTCTCCTTGCTCTTTTCCTAGGATGCCTTCAGCTCTTTCAGGACATTTCGTGACCACTCTCTGTTCCCTGTTTCTCAGACTAACAGCCCTCCCCTCATCCAAATCATCCTGGGAGGCATACACCCCAACAAGGGAACAGTTGACTTGCTGCTCTACCCCATTCTTAAGCATTCAGAGAAAAGATCAACCCCAGAATTCCACATTCCAATTCCTTGAGCCCACTGCCCTCCCTTCTGCCGATCCTTCAGGGGTCAGGGCTGACATCTCCTGCAGGCTTACTCCGTGAGTCCCTGTGCCCTCAGAGCAGACCTGGTCAGTGCTCCCCGCCCCCTCCCCGAGGCATGGGGGAGGGCAGAGGACAGCCTCAGCACTTGCATTCCTGGACTGCAGCTCCACAGAGTGGAGCTTGGGGAAAGATCCACTGTACCCAAGTTCAGGGTCACAGAGGCTTCAGCCCTTGTCTTTCAAAGCCTGGGATGCCTTCATCCCTTCCTTCATTCTCACTCATCTCTATCTTGACCTGTTTCTGCCCTTAAGAAGGCTGAGAATGGAAGAGGGGGTAGGGAAGGAAAGACCCTGGCCAGGCCCCAAGATCCAGGGACACCCCCTTTTCTAGCTCCCAATGACCCTAGAATCAAAGAGTTGTCTGCCCCACTGTGCTCAGACTACAGGAATCCCCTGAGTCTGTCCTGTCCCCTCCGTGACAGATTATGGGGACACAGAGAGAGACACAGACACGTACAGTGAGATAGAGACACACAGAGGCAGAAAGAGAGATAGACACACAGTGCAAACCACAAGAAGATTCAGAATGAAGAAAGAAATACACTCAGAGGAAGACAGAAAGATGGAGAAGAAAAGAGACAGAAATAGGAAGAGAAATAGGGATGGGGGCCAGGGGTAGAGAGAGACAGAGACAGAGATAAGAGAAACTGAGAAAGAGAGCCAGGGAGAAAGAGAGAAGGAAGATATAACCCAAGGACTGGAGGCTCCACCTGCCCCAAAGTGTTGAGACAGAGAGTGGAAGTGGGGTCTGAGGGAAGGAGCTGGGTCTGTGGCTCTGCCCTGACCCTCTGGCTCAAGTGTCCTCAATTTGGAGACACTGAACTTGGATGGGGAAAAAATTACATTATTTTCACTAATCTCTAGCTGAAATTTAGCATTTCCTTCAATTGTGACAGTAGCAACAAACCAGTCATATTAGCCATAATTATGGCTTTGTCACCAATAAAAATCACATATATTTTTGTCTCATATTACAGTATTGCAGATATTTTGAAATATCATTTATGCTTATCACTGCTTCAAAATTATGTGAGGTATCAACCTACTGCTAGATCTTATTTAAAGCATTAATAAAGAAGCACATATATTGCTATATCACATTAAAATAGTTTTAAACTGCATTGCAATATAATTGGTTTCCTCTGTAATCCTACATATTTCTTTTTATGCATTTTAAAACATTATTCTGAGACTGGGTCCATGGGCTTTACCAGATTGCCAAAGGGGACCATGACATAAAAAAGGTTCAGAACTGTTGCATCTGGCCTCTGACCAGGATCCCCCAGCACCCATCCCTGCAAGCTCCCTGTGCCCTGTACTAATTTACCCTACTCCTCTCTCCTGCTGAGTTATTCTGAGTCCTCCAAGAAGAAGCTGCTAAGGCAGGATGAAACGTGCAAGGATTTGATTAAGGGAAATGCCTGTGAGAGAAGATGAGAACCAGGGGCTGGGAGAGCTATGAAGGAGAGCGTGAAGGAAGGAAGGCTGGAAGGAAGCATCCTAGACCACTATGCAGTAGAAGGAAAGTTCAGCAAGGCCGTGGAGGTATTCTTGAGCCAACATCAGCTGTCAGAGGAGTCCCCTATCTCCCAGGAATAGACCTGCCTTAGGGTCTCCGCTGAGCTTGGTCATTAGCTGGGAGCAGCCCAGTGGGAAGCTGGCCTTAAGAGTAGGAGACGATGGATTTCAGAGAAGCAACTGAGGCCCTTGGTCAATTTTCATTCCTTAGAGTTGAAGGTCTGTGAGGAGCATTCTTCTGGCCCTATGGCTCCCAGACAAAAAAATGTCTCCTTATCTGTAAGATAGAGGTGATAAAATTCCCTATCTTAAGAGTTGTTGTGAGAATTAATAGAAATTTGGAAAGCAATGTTCGCACAGGGCCTGGGACATAGTCAGCTCTCAATAATTGGTAGCTATTATTATGGCCACTTTAATTATTAATTATTATTATAATTCTCTTTCTCTGAGAGAAGGGCTCCAGGAGGCTTAATGGGTAGTCCCTCTCCAAGCTGGGGCAACTGGGAGAAGGCGTACCACTTCCCTACACTCCCCTGGCCTTCCCCTCAGGCAGGGGTCTTCCCTTAGCTACTGACAGTTCCTGCGTATGCTGACTCACAGCCAACTTCCTCTCATACAAACAGGAAAACACAGCCGGCCAACGGCCCCCCGCCCTCGTCACCCCCCCCCCCAACACCACATACAGCTGAAGGACAGCCCAGCTCTGAGAGGGAAGTGCCTCAGGCTCTGTGGGACAAGCTCCAAGACTGGGGCTCCCGGCAAGATCCAGGGAGGGGTGAGGAGCAATTTCTCCTCAGCCCCACCCCGCCACGCCCGCAAAAAATTGCAGTAGGAGGATGGGGAGAAGGGGCTTCTCCCAAGGATGAACAGGCTGCTTGCTGGGTCACTGTGCTTGTAGGGCGCCAGCCTTATCTTCAAAAAGGCAGCCCCAAACCCTGGATTGCGAGTAGGGGTGTTGCCCTGCTGACATTCATCCCTGGGAAGAAACCTAGGCCGGGCCCTGGGGGAGGGAGAAGCGGATGGGGACTCTTCCGCTGCGCCTCTGCCCCTGTTCCCCCGAGTCAGACCGCTGGGCTCCTGAAGGGCTCCCCAGCCTGGAAGGCTGCGGCTATCCGTGACTTCTGGATGCCGGCTTCCGTTCCCTCATGAACTGGGTGTCAGGGTCCAGCCGCCCTGCTGGGCGTGGGAGATGCGCCCTGGGGGCTTAGGGTCCGACCCCTTTGCCTCCCTTTTTGGCAGGACTGGGACAGAAGAGCGGAGGGGAGGTAAAGCCGTCCCCGCTGCACTCTCTTTTTCCCTCTGGTTCTACCCCCGTCCCTCTCTCTGTTCTGGTCTCTGCTTCTTTGTCCCTCTCTCCAAGGCTGTCTCGGCCTCCAGCCCTGTTCCGGTCCCTTTCTCGGCCCCTAAGAGGGCAGAGCGGGCCAGGCCCCGAGATAAGCTCTGTGGTTGGGTAAGGAGCCCAAATCTTTTGAAGACCGGCGCTTGCACAAGGAGAGGCCGGGGCCCCGCGGAGGGAAGGGGCCGGGCGGGGCGGGGCGGGGCCCGTCGGGGGAGGGCTGAGTGGAGGCGGGGCCGGCGCGGCGGGACCCGGAGCCTCGAACCGCTCTGCGGCCACCGGGGAGCGGACGGCCGCGCGTACTGAGGTGAGGACTCCCGCGCCCCCGGGCCCCGGCTTCCCAGACTCCTCCCCACCACCTCCTCGTGGGCCTTCGTGGGATCCCAGGCCCCCTCCGCTCCGGCGGCCTCCCCCTCCCCCTCCCCGCCGCGACCCGCCCCTCCCTCCGGTTGTCCGGCCTCTGCCCCCTCCCTCCATCCCCCCTCCCTCGTCTCAGCCCGCGCTGCCCCGCGCTGCCAGGCCCGCCCCCAGCACTCCTGCCCGACTCACCTCCTGGTTCCCAGTCCCGTGCCCTCGGGCCGGGCCTGAGTCACTGGGAAACTGGGCTCTGAGTCAGGGCCCGAGGCACAGTACCGGGGCCCTAGTTTGAGGATGGGGCCCAGCCGCAGAGAGGCAGAGAGACCAGAACTGATGCTGGGGCAAGAGTGAGTGCTGGTCGGGACTCCATAGGAGAGAAACGGAGAGAGCTGAAACAGGGAGAGAGCGTACGGGCAGAGGCGCAGACAGAAACCCAGAGTCAGAGATGGCCAGAGACACAGATACAACTTCAAAACTAGTTAAAATTGGAGACTGAGGCAAGGAGAGGCGTAATGACAGAGAGCTAAACAAGGAGAGAGACAAAGATGGATTTACAGGTGGAGATGAAGATGGAGTGGGGTAGAGACAGGGACAGGGCAGAGAGATAAAACTCAGGGGAGATAGAATCAGAGAGATGTCCAGGGAATAGACCAAGGTCAGGGTCAAGGTGGCCGAATGGGACAGAGCGTCAGAGACCTGAGCCCAAGGACATGGGCAGAAAAAGGAAGGCTTGGAGAAAGCAGAGGTAGGAGGATGTCATTTCACACTGCTCAGACCCTATAGGGTGGGTGAGCGCTCACATGTACACACACGTGTGTGAACATGCTGCAGGTGGGTGCAGAGTGAAGACCCTGGAGTACCCCTGGCCTCTGGTCCTCATCTCTCTCGCCCAGTTCTCTACCCCATCCCAACTCTCCAAGTGGTCTCTGCCCAGGGCCTGGATCCCCCATGCTGGGACTAGTTAGGGCTCTCTGGGAAGCCTGACCAAGGCAGGCAGGATGTGGGGGTGGCTAGGGCTGGAGGGACAGGAAGGAAGTCTGAGCAGAGACAATAGGTGGAAGGGGAGGAGGAACTGGGAATGACCAGGATTAGGATGGCCAGCCTGTACCTCAGCTCTGGAAACCAGTGAGAGGGGGATCTGCACCTCCTCCCTCCTCCTATGCCACAGCTGCCCCTGTTCCCACCTTATGCCACAGCGGGATCAGGCCACATCATGGGCCCCCTCCTCCCCACCATCCCCCTCCCTCTGCCCCTACAGGGTTCCAGCATCTTGTCATATGCTTACTTAGTTGAGTGTGCAGTAATGCAGAGGCAGAGCTTTGACCTAGACCCAGGGTGGGCAGGAGCTTGGGGGCCAACACTACCACTGACTTGCTGTGAGCCTGGGGCAAGCCTCTTCTCCTCTCTGGGCCTCAGTTTCCTCATCTGCAAATGAAGGGATTCTCCTCTAATGAGAAAGCCCTTTCTGATGTTCTGGGATGGCTCTGCCTCCAGATAGCAGGCCTCTGGTCATTTTTCTTTGGAGGAAGACTGGAGTCTGGTACCCCCTTTTCAGGCCTCAGACTTTGGGACAGGGAGGGGGAATCTCAGCCTGAGCCCTCCCTTCACCTACCCCCTCCCCCCAGCAATGGACTGAGCCCCCATGGCTGCCCCTCAGGACCTGGACATCGCTGTGTGGCTGGCCACGGTGCACCTGGAGCAGTATGCAGACACGTTCCGGCAGCATGGCCTGGCTACAGCAGGTGCAGCCCGGGGCCTGGGCCATGAGGAGCTGAGGCAGTTGGGTATCAGCGCCACAGGGCACCGGAAACGCATTCTGCGGCTGCTGCAGGCGGGCGCTGCAGAGGGCGCCCCGGATCCCCAACCGGATAGTGCCATGGAGCCATCCCCCAGCTCAGCCCCCCAAGCCCAGCCCCCCAAGCCTGTGCCTAAGCCCAGGACGGTATTTGGTGGGCTCAGTGGGCCCACCGCCACCCAGAGGCCTGGGTTGAGCCCAGCCCTCGGGAGACCAGAAGTGTCCAGGAGCCCAGAATCCAGCCCAAGGTCCCCTCCTCTCCCCACCTCCTCCTCTGAGCAGCCTTCAGCCTTGAATACTGTGGAGATGATGCCCAACGCCATCTACTTTGGCCTGGACGTAAGAGGCAGGGCACAGACAGCTCAGGACATGTGAGTGGGTTGGCTCCCTGGGGATCCAGTACTGGGTGGGGGCAGGGAGGAGCAGGGCAAGAGGGCTTGTCCTTCCTCCTCACTCCCTTAATGACCACTAGACATTTCCACTCAGGGCCCCAGCCAGCTCCCAGACAGCTGCCCCCACCCCTGCCCTCAGGCCCACAACAGGCACAGGTAGGTGGATTATCATGGGTTCAGGGAGAGGGACAGTGCCCTTCAGGACCTCAGACACTCCCACCTGATCTCCTCTTCCCTGTCTCCCCCATTCCTCCCCTTGCCAGTGCACATCATGGATCCTGGTTGCCTGTACTACGGTGTCCAGCCTGTGGGGGTCCCAGGGACCTCTGACAGAAGAGAAGGCAGAGGTGTCTGTCAGGACAGGGCTGAACACAGGTAAGTAGTCAGTGGGATGGTGATGGCAGGAAGAGGGGAAGCTTGAGGAACAGTTGAGCTGGTGGCAGCCATGTATCCAGTTATTCATCAAATGTGCATTGAGTGTCCACTGTGTGCCAGCCAGGTATTCAAGGTACAAGACGAATATAACAGACCCAGTCCCCTCCTCAGGCAGCTCGTGACTCAGTGGGGCAGACAGGAAATAAAACAGTAGACAAACAAATGGATATATAATTTAAAATAGGGAGAAGTGCTTTTCCTTCTTTCATTTAACAGATCTTTATGAACACCTATTGCATGCCAGATATTGTAGATACTTGGGATAGATCAGAAATCCATGCCCTCATGGGGAGATAGTCAGTTAACAATAGATATAAAAAGTTACATCCTATGTTAAAAGGTGTTAAGTGCCATGGAAAAAAATAGAGCAGGGTAAGAGGGCTGGGATGGAGTGATCAGGAGAGTGGACTGCAAGTTTTCATTAAGAGTTGCCAGAGTGTTAAGAAGATGACATTTGAGCAAAAACCTGAAGCGGGTGAGGGAGGTAGCCATGATGATGTCTGGGAGAAAGTGTCCCAGGCAGGGGGCGTGGCCAGAATAGAGGCTCCAAGGAGGCCGTGTGCCCAGGGGAATCCAGGAGCAGTGACGAGGCCAAGGCCAGCGGGGCTGGGGCAGGGTGGATCAGGGTGGGTCAGGGTGGGAGGAGTGGGAGGAGACAACATCAGAGGTAAAAGGGGCAAGATCGGGCAGGACCTTGTAGGGACTTTCGCTTTTACTCTAAGCGAAATGGGAAGCCACTGGAAGGGTTTTGACTTATATTTTAAGAATGCCTCTGGTTGCTGTGTTGGGAATGGTCTGTAGGCGGCAAAAGCAGAAGCAGAGACCAGTTAGGGGGTTATTGCAGTGATCTAGGTGAGACATCTCAGACTAGGGTGATGGTAGTGGACATGGTGAGAAGTGGTTGGATTTTGGTACATTTTGAAGGCACACTGTTCTAGAAAATTGGGGTGTGAGAGAAAAGAGCAGTCACGAATGACTTCAGGGGTTTCAGCCTGAGCCTGCACTGTCCGGTGTGTCCAGTGTGGTAGCCACTAGCCACAAGTGACTACTGAACACCTGAAATGTGGCTAATCTGGAGTGAGATGTGCTGGAACTGTAAAACAACTACCAAATTTCAAAGACTGAGTACGAAAAAAGCAATACTGGATGAATATAACCGACATAGATATAAATTATCTTAATAATTTTTATACTTATTACATACTAAAATGTTAATGTTTTGGGTTTGTTGGGTTAAATAAAATATATTTTTAAAATTAATTTCACCTGTTTCTTTTTTAATGTGTTTACTAGAAAATTTAAAATTACATATGTGGCTTTTGCATTGATTTCTGTTGGACAGCGCTGTTCTGAGCAATTGAAAGTTCCTGGAGTTGCCATGGTCTGAGATGGGGAAGGCTGTGCGTAGAGCAGGGAGATGGGGGTAGATCAGGAGTTCAGTTTTGGACGTGTTGAATTTGAGGTGTATGTTATATACCCAAGAAGAGGTGACAAATAGGTCATCCTCTGGGGGAGGTCTGAGCTGGAGCGCTAAATTTGTGAGTTGTCAGCATTTAGATGGGTGTATGTAGCTGTGAGTGAGTGTCGATAGAACAGAGGGCCGAGATCAGAGGCCTGGAACACTCCAATATCAAGAGGTTTGGGAGAAGAGGAAGAATCAGTAAAATAGGCTGAAAAGAAATGGCTAGTGAAGGAGATTGTGATGTCAGGAGCCAAGTGAAGAGAGCATATGAGGAGGAGGGAGAGGTCAGCTGTGTCAGTGCTGCTGAGAGGACAAGTAAGATGAGGACTGAGACTTGACCTCTGGAATTCACAGCATGGAGGTCACTGGGGACCCTGACAGTGAGGGAGATGAAAGCTTGATCAGAGTGGGCTCAAGAGAGAATGGAAGGAGAGGAGTTGGAAATGTAAAGACAACATTTTTGAGGAGTTTTTCTGCCAAGAACAGAAAGTTGGAGTGGTTGTTGATAGTGGAAGTGGAGTCAAGAAAGGGTTTTTTATAGGATGGAATGTTATGTATGTTTATAGGTGAATAGGAATGACCTGGTAGAGAGGGAAACTTAGCTGATGTAGGAGAGAGAGAGGGGAGAAAGTCTGGAACAGTGTCCTCGTGTAGGTGAGAGGAATAGCATCAAGTGCACAGAGGAGGGACTGGCTGTAGACAGGGTGTTTATTATAGTAACAGGAGGAAGGCAGAGTTTGTGTGAAATTGGGTAGGTGAGGCACTGGGAGTCTGTGGGGGTTCTCATCTGATTGCTTCAATTTCCCAGTGAAGTAGGAAACAGAGGGTAGAATAGTGGTTCTCAACCTTAGCTGCACTACAGCCTGGGGAACTTTTAAAATTACAGACACCTGGGCCCCACTCCCAGAAGTTCGAATTTAAGTGTCTGGTATGGGGCCCATATACTGGTATTTTTAAGTTTCCCAAGTGATTTTGTGCTGCTGAGGTTAAGAACCACTGGAAAGTGATAGCGAATAATAGAGGATTTTCTGAGAAGATGGTATAAGCAAAGACCTGAAAGAAAAAAGCAGCCTAGGGAAGCATGTTCTAGGCAGAGGGAAGAGCATGTGCAAGGGCTCTGAAAAAGGGAAGAGAATGTGGCTGGGCTGTGGTAAGCAAGGGTGGGGGGATCAAGATGAGGTCAGGGAGTAGCCATGGGTCTCATCATACAAGGTCTTGCAGCCCATGGTAAGGAATTTGTATTTATTCTAAGTGCAAATGGGAAGTTATTGCAGAGTTTCATGCCAGGGAGTGAAATGACCTCATCTGCAGTTTTGAAAGAGCTCTCTGGGGTAGTGGGAGAGTGGATGGGGGAGGGAGGGCAAGTGTGGAAACAGGTGACAGGGAGTTCATATCACCTGGTGAGAACTGATGGGAACCTCATCCAGGGAGAGAAAGTCAAGAACTTTTTGGAGAAAGAACCAGTAACTTTGATTATTGATTAGATGTGGGCAACTGTGGCAGGGAGCCATCTACACACCCCTTCCCAACTTTTCCACCAAGTAATACTAATGGCAGAGGAGAGGGACTGAAATTTTCCAAATGAAAAGTCCAAGTGTTGGGGGGGAAGAAGCCCCATGCTAATCTTTTGGGTTCCCAACCTCCCTAGTCCCCTGTTTAGAAAGCAGATCCAGTACCTGCTAGGCATCCTCCTAGGTGCTGTGGGTAGGGATGTCCAGGGAGCTGGGTCTAATGTGTGCCCGTCTCTGTCTTGGCCCCCACAAGGCTCAGCAGGCAAGATCTAGAGGCACGGGAAGACACTGGCTATGCCAGCCTTGAGCTGCCCGGGGACTCCACCCTCTCGCTGCCCACCCTGGACACAGAGGAGACCAGTGATGACCTCATTTCACCCTATGCCAGCTTCTCCTCCACGGCAGACCGCCCCATGCCCCTGCTCAGTGGATGGCTAGACAAGCTCTCCCCTCAGGGGTGGGGCTGCTGGGAAGGGAAGGGGAGGGAGGGGAGGGAGGCTGGGCAGTGAGGGGGGTCAGGTCTCAAGTGCTCCCAGACCCTCGGAACCCCCAGGATGCAGCCCCCTCCACGCACTAATCTTGGCCCCTCCCTTCCCCAGAAACTACGTCTTCCAGAGGCGCTTTGTGCAGTTCAACGGAAGGAGTCTGATGTACTTTGGCAGTGATAAGGTGCGGGTCAGGGAGATGCCACATAGGGCATGGGGAGAAGGAGAGGGAGAGGGAGGGCTGAGAGGGTTGAGGATTGGAAGGATGATGGGGGTGCCACCACATGACTGATGTCAGCATCTAAAGTAGCTAGGTTAGCAGCTGTACCCCACTGCTTGAGGGATGAGTGCTGATCTCATTAAAAGCGCTGGCCTGGGGCCGGCCCCATGGCTTAGCGGTTAAGTGCACGCGCTCCGCTACTGGCGGCCCGAGTTCGGATCCCGGGCGCGCACTGACGCACCGCTTCTCCGGCCGTGCTGAGGCCGCATCCCACATACAGCAACTAGAAGGATGTGCAACTATGACATACAACTATCTACTGGGGCTTTGGGGAAGAAAAAAAAAAAGGAGGAGGATTGGCAATAGATGTTAGCTCAGAGCCGGTCTTCCTCAGCAAAAAGAGGAGGATTAGCATGGATGTTAGCTCAGGGCTGATCTCCCTCACCAAAAAAAAAAAAAAAAGCACTGGCCTGAGTTCCTGTCCCCGTGGGTCACTGGGCTGTCTCTTCAGGACCCCTTCCCCAAGGGTGTGATCCCTCTGACTGCCATTGAGATGACCCGTGGCAGCAAGGACAACAAGTTCCAGGTCATCACCGGCCAGAGGGTGTTTGTGTTCCGCACAGAGAGCGAGGGTGAGGGCCAGGGTCCACTGGGGTAGGGTGGGGGCGAGGAGGTTGTGTGAGCACACAGTCTGCTGACCTGTTTCCCTGTCCCCCACCAGCTCAGCGGGACACGTGGTGCTCCACACTACAATCCTGCCTGAAGGAGCAGCGCCTCCTGGGCCACCCCCGGCCCCCACAGCCGCCCCGACCCCTCCGCACGGGCATGCTGGAGCTGCGCGGACACAAGGCCAAGGTGTTTGCCGCCTTGAGCCCTGGCGAGCTGGCGCTGTACAAGAGTGAGCAGGTGAGGAAGGCCGGGCTGGGGCTGAGGGGCTTGGCCTAGCCCATTCTGGCCTCACTTTGTCTACCCCTGACTCTGCCAGGCCTTCTCTCTGGGCATTGGGATCTGCTTCATTGAACTGCAAGGCTGCAGTGTCCGGGAGACCAAGAGTCGCAGCTTCGACCTGCTCACACCTCATCGCTGCTTCAGGTGGGGCCCCGACTGGCAGGAGGCAAGGCTTGGGGAGAGACTAGGGGGAGGCACAGGGGTGCAGAGGACTAGAGGCCCCGTCAGTAGGATGTCAGTAGGTGTGCATGGATGGGAGGCCAGTGGGCAGGGTCAAGGATGTCAGGAGGGTCTGGGCTGGCCCAGATGTGGCCTGTGGTGGCTCATGCAGGAATGGCCAGTGGGATGGGACAGGTAGGGGGGTGTCCATGCCCACAGACTGGCTGTCCACCCCTCAGCTTCACGGCCGAGTCTGTGGGGGCTCGGCAGAGCTGGGCGGCCGCTCTGCAGGAAGCAGTAACCGAGACCCTGTCTGACTACGAGGTGGCTGAGAAGATCTGGTCCAATCGGGCAAACCGGCACTGTGCGGACTGTGGGGCCTCCCGCCCAGACTGGGCTGCTGTCAACCTGGGGGTGGTCATCTGCAAGCAGTGTGCAGGTGAGGGTCGGGACCTCTAGCTGAAACGGGGAGAGGGAGGGGGGCTGGGGCAGGGGGCTCAGGGTACCCATGCCACATGCCCCTCACACCCTACCAGGTCAGCACCGGGCCCTGGGTTCCGGCATCTCCAAGGTGCAGAGTCTGAAGCTGGACACAAGTGTCTGGAGTAATGAGATAGTGCAGGTAAGGAGGCTGAAGAGGGAGATGGTGGGGGGATGGAAGGAGAGCATCCAAAAGAAGGCCTTGGGTCTAGCTTGGGGACAGGATTGGAATGTCTGGGGACCCTTGAGTTCCTGTCACTTGCCTCTGCCCCTTGTCTTCCTGTAGTTGTTCATTGTCCTGGGAAATGATCGTGCCAACCGCTTCTGGGCAGGGGCACTACCCCCAGGTGAGGGGCTGCATCCAGATACAACCCCTGGCCCCCGGGGAGAGTTCATCTCCCGGAAGTACCGGCTGGGTCTCTTCCGGAAGCCCCACCCTCAGTATCCAGATCATAGCCAGCTTCTCCAGGTAGGAGGGACAGGTTGGGGCTGATGGCAGGGAGAAGCAGCCTCTGAGATGAAATGCCTAGACTTGGGACAGGGGGCTGCTTTTGGTGACCGGAGGACTTTCCCCAAAGGTCCTGGGGCTGACAGACCCTTCCCTCTCTGCAGGCGCTGTGTGCCGCTGTGGCAGGACCCAACCTGCTGAAGAACATGACCCAGCTCCTCTGTGTCGAGGGCGAGGAGCCCTGGTCTCCCTCAGCCCTCGATGGCAGCTTCCCTGGTCTCCTGCCCCCAGGTAACCCCCGCAAGTGCCTCCTTTCTCTCCCCCAAGAATCTCATCCCTGACCTGTGCCCTGGTTGTCCCCCCTCACCCAGCCCATCTCAATGGGCCAGCCTGGGCGGTTTCCCAACCCTCCAGATCCTCCGGGGCCAATTTCCTGATGTCATGAAATGACCAACGATGGTCACTGCCTGGGGTGGATCTGAATGTTTGAGGTGTTAGTGCTGGTCTACCCCTGACAGGGTCAACCGCTAAGCCAGGTCTCATCTCCCTGGGGGCAGTCTGATCATAGAAATGGTCATCTTAAAGAGGCCGGTCTCCAGGAGTCAGGCCAAAGGGCCTAAGACACTTACAGGAAGGCCCATGCTCTGAAGCCCCCACCTGGAACTGACAGTTGGCCGGCTGGTGGGGATAGGCAGTGGGCAAGGGCTGGGTTAGAGGCCTCATTCCACCCTCTTTTCTAATCTGGGTAGTGAGGGGTCCAGCCCCGGGCTCTGCTTGCTTGGCCATGCTGCCAGTGGAGTTGGGTCCCACTGTCTTCCTCAATTCGACCTCTTCCCCAAGGGGGTCAGGCCATCCTATTGCACTGGCCTGGCCTGACCACTTCTCCTTCCCCTTGCAGACCCCTCCCCTGGTGTGTACAATGAGGTGGTGGTGCCTGCTACTTATAGCAGCTTCCTGTACTGTGGTCCCATCAGCAACAAAGCTGGACCCCCACCCCCTCGCAGGGGCCGGGATGGTAAGTGGGGAGCCAAGGGATTGGAAAAGACAGGGTTAGAAACGGGGGTGGGAGCGAATGTACCACAGAGGGACAGGGAAAAGTGGGGCCATGCCCTAGAGTGGGCTGGATGCGGGGGGTAAGAGAGGGACCATGCCAGGTGGCAGCACTGGGTGATAGTTCAGAGCCTGTGCTTTGAAGTCAGACTGTCGGGGTCAAATCCCAGCTCTGCTACTTCCTACCCATGTGACTTGGGCAAGCTACTCAAATTCTCAGCCTCAGTTTCCCCATCTGCAAGACAGGAAGGAATATAATACCCACCTCATAGGGTTGTTGTGAAGATTACACGAGATCATACATAGGCAGAGGGCTTGGCATAGATAAATATCTGATAAATGAGAATTCTGACAGTGGGGACAGAGGTCTTCTGCCTGCTGACCATCCGTTTCCCCCTTAGCTCCCCACCGAATGTGGTGTGTGCTGGGAGCGGCTCTGGAAATGTTTGCGTCAGAAAGCAGCCCTGAACCCCTCAGCCTCATCCAGCCCCAGGATGTTGTCTGTTTGGGTGTGAGCCCCCCACCCACTGACCCAGGTGACCTCGAGAGGTAAAAGCCCCCATGCTCACTGAGCTCCCCTTTTTCCTTCCTGATCCCAACCCCGAAGCCCCTTCATTGGCTCCCATTCTCCTTCCTGACTTCACCTTCTCTCCAGGTTCCCCTTTTCGTTTGAGCTCATCCTGACTGGAGGGAGGATCCAGCATTTTGGCACCGATGGAGCTGATAGTCTGGAGGCCTGGACCAGTGCCGTGGGCAAGGTGAGATAGCCGAGACCCCTCCCCGACAGCTCAGGGTCTCCCTGTCCCCACCTGCCCCTATCCTGTCCTCTCTTATTCCTACAGCCACTCCCACCCCTTCCACTAACAGCTAAGGTTAACTGAGTGCTTATTCTGTGCCAGGCCCTGTGCTGAGCACTGCCCACTCACTACCTCATTTAATTTTTACAACCCTCAGTGGTAAGGATTAGTAACATTTTACACATAAAGAAACTGAGTCTCAGAGGTTATGAAGTCACTTGGTCAAGGTCACAGAGCTAGGAGGCAGCAGAGCACAGGACCAAAAATCGGGCCTCTGTCTCCAGAGCGCATGCCCCAAACCTCGCTGTGCCAGACCTCTTACCACAGAGAGGCTGCCTCTGACTCCCGCTACCCTCCCCAACAGTTCTCCAGGTCCAGAGGCAAAGCTGCCTTCATCTGTCCCATCTTCTCCATTCCCAGGCAAGCCAATCTCTCTCCATCCTGTACCCTCTCCCTGGAATTAAAAGTTCAGGCCCTAGGGCCGGCCCCGTGGCTTAGTGGTTAAGTGTGTGCGCTCTGCTACTGGTCGCCCGGGTTCGGATCCCGGGCGCGCGCTGACGCACCGCTTGTCCGGCCATGCTGAGGCCGCGTCCCACATACAGCAACTAGAAGGATGTGCAACTATGACATACAACTATCTACTGGGGCTTTGGGGAAAAAAAAGGAGGAGGATTGGCAATAGATGTTAGCTCAGAGCCGGTCTTCCTCAGCAAAAAGAGGAGGATTAGCATGGATGTTAGCTCAGGGCTGATCTTCCTCACACACACAAAAAAAAGTTCAGGCCCTGGAGTCAGACATCCTGGGATTTGAGTCCTTCAACTCTCAGCCTTGTGAGCTTTTCCATATGGGTAGAGTGGGTGTAAAAGACCCATCCCCTAGGGCTGAGGATGAAGTGACATGTGAGGCCTGCACTGCTTGGCACACAGCAAGCCCTCCATCTGTGGGTGTTGAAACAGTAATTGTGATGATGATGACAGTCACTCTCATCCTTAAACAGCTTTTCCCTCAGACTTCTCAGAAAGTCGTGTGCCCTGGCAGCCTGCAGTTCCTCCTTAACTCTTGCAGCTGCCCTCCTCTGCTGTACTCTTCTGAGCTGCTACCGTGTGGGTGGCCAGTGACTTCCCATTGCCAAAGTTCCAGGGCCTCCTTCTGGCCTCACCAGGTCATCTCTGCAGCATCTGACACTCCTCTGTAGGAAATGCCCAACTCCTCTGGCTTCTGACCCTACTCTCCTGGTTCTCCTCTAACTCCTCACACCAAGAAATTATCTCCATATCCTTTAAGGGCTCTGTTGTGGCACCCCGAGCCGAGTCCAAGTCTCCTCTTATTGTTATCTATGCTTTCCCCAAATCCAACCCATCCTTTAAGGCAGTGCTGCCCCAAGTGTGGTCTGCAGACTGTGACACTGTACTGGCCCACGGACTCCTCGTCATGGCCCATGACACGATCAGTACCGAACTCAAGAGTCAACATTTAGAATCTTTCATTTTGACAGAGTGATCTTATGTGTGGAATCTAACTATGAAAACTGGGGGCTTATATTTTGTATGTCTTCCTTTTTTTCCTTTCATTTTTCTAGTAATTCATTTTTATTGTGTTTTATATTGGTTAGTGACAGATTGGAAATTTTTTAAAAAAAAAGAAAAGAAAAAACTCCCTGTGTCATCACCACAGGTAGTTTGAGAAGCATTGCTCTGAGGTTCACCTCAAACACTCCTTCCTCCCAGAAGGCTCTCCCCAGCTCCCTGAGGTGGTGGGACTTCCCAGGGCATCATGATGCTTCAGTTATAGCATATAGTTATACCTGTTCTTTCTTACCCCTACATCCCAATTAAGGGCATAAGGCTGCCACACAGGGGTGTTCTCTGTGTTGGCTGGAGCAAATTGAATTGAATTGAATATCCTTCCTGTCTTTCTCCATCCATCTCTTGTCTTTTCCTTGGGTCTTTCTTTTGCTCTCTCCCCATCCCTTTTCATTCCTCTCTTTCTTCTGCTTTCTCTTCATGTCTTTCTCTGCCTTTCCCTGTCCCTGTCACTCTTATTTCTCACCCCTGCCTTTTGTCTCTTTCCGCATCCTCCTCTCTGTGTCCTCCTCCTGCCTCGCAGTGGTTCTCCCCGCTGAGCTGTCACCAGCTGTTAGGCCCTGGGCTGCTGCGGCTGGGCCGTCTGTGGCTGCGGTCCCCCTCTCATACAGCCCTGGCCCCTGGCCTCTGGCTGTCAGGGTTTGGACTTCTTCGTGGTGACCACCTCTTCCTGTGTCCAGCACCGGGTCCTGGCCCCCCAGCCCCTGAGGACATGGTGCATCTGCGCCGGCTACAGGAGATCAGTGAGCAGGGGTGGGGATTGGGATGAAGGGTGGCCATGGTGGAGGGTAGTGGACCTTCATCTATTTGGGGGTCCCTATGGGAAACAGCAGAACACAGTGGATTCAGGCACAAACTCTGGAGTCATACTGCCCAGATTTAGATTCCCACCTCCATCACTTCCTAGCTGTAACTTTGGACAATTTACTTAACCTCTCTGTGCCTTAGTTTCCTCATCTTTACAATGGGCACAATAATAGAGCTGTAGTGAGTTTCAAATAAGGCAATGCGTGTAAAACACTTATCACAGAGCCTGGCAGGAGGCATCTTGTAAGTGTTCAATAAATGTTACATGTTATAAATGTTATGGTTATTATCATTATCTGGAGTCACTTGCTGGTTGGGGACTGGGAGAGGGGACTGGGTATTCTCACTTCCTCCTAAAAGAGGAACACTGTAGGATAATGTCTTAGGGCTTTGGAGACAGAGACCTGAGTTCAAGCTCAGCTTTGCCATTTTATAGCAAGTAATCTGAGGCAAGTTACTTAACCTCTCTGAGCTTCAATGTGTCACCTGTAAAATGGTGATAACAGTATGTAATTCATAGGGTTTAATGCAGCGTTGTTTGTAAGGCTCCTAGCCTGGCACCTACATACCTTAAATACTTAATCAATATCAGTTACTGTGATGAAGATGATGATGATAACGTCTGATGATTCTCCTCCCAGGTGTGGTCTCCGCAGCTGATACCCCAGACAAGAAGGAGCATTTGGTCCTGGTGGAGACAGGAAGGTACATTTTGCCTCTACCTTTGACCCTGGGCCGCCCTTTCTAGAGCCCAGCCCACATCCTCCACCTTGGCCCGCTGGACCACTGCCCACTTCCTCAAAGTCGCTTCCCTAGTTCAGGGGCCTTGTCTGGGTTGGGTGTTGCTGCCCTCTGCTGGTGGCTCTGAGAAGTCTGGTCCTTGTGATCCTGGGCCTCTGGAGCTGGTTCTGACTCAGGCTTCTTGGGTCTCAGGACCCTGTATCTGCAGGGGGAGGGCCGGCTGGACTTCTCAGCATGGAGTGCAGCCATTGGAGGGGCAGCCGGCGGGGGCGGCACAGGGCTGCAGGAGCAGCAGATGAGCCGGGGTGACATCCCCATCATCGTTGATGCCTGCATCAGTTTTGTCACCCAGCATGGTGAGTGGGTACTGGCCGATACTGAGCCAGTGGGGGATGGGGAACATGGGTGCAGCCAGGGGGGTGATCTCCCTGTAAGACCTCTGCCTCCAGAGACTGCAGCCTGATAGCCTTTGCAAACTGCTTTACCTTTCTGAGCCTCAGCTTCCTCATCTGTAAAATGGGGCTACTAACAGTCCTCATTTTCCAGGACAGTTGTGATAGTAAGATAACACATGTAAAGCATTTAGCACAGGACCTGGTGGGTAGTAATTGTTCCAGGGTAGCAGTAATTGTTCCAGGTAGCATGCCCAGGCGTGGGCATGGAGAGAGCATGGCATTGCAATCTGATTGGAGATGTCCAGCCATGGAGAACAAAGAGGGGGCAGCTACGAGGCAAGAGCCAAGCTGTGCAGCCACATCCTTGAAGGTTTGAGCACAATTATTCTGTGTGGGAGGTTTTCAAGGCATAAAGGATAAGCTATGCAAGTGGCTCTCAGAATTCTTTGTGAGTTTTCGGCCTCTGCTTTATTCTCAAGCCTCAGTAAGGATCAAGTGGAATCTATCTCCCCAGCGAACCCCCATGAGAAGGCTGGACTCTTGAGAAGGAAAATTCACAGAAAACTAAGGAGGGCAGTAAGGGAAAAAAGGCACATCCACGAACCTACAAATAGTTGTGCTTCTAAACTGGACAGTAGCTGGTCAGGGCCTCATGACATTCTCCATGCCTTGGCAATAGCCTCCTGCAGTGACTTCCCCCACTCACTGGACCCCTGTCCTTTCTCAGCCTCCCTCGTGTTCAGAGGAGGACTGAAGTCAGAGGCCCAGGGAAAAGCCCTGGAGAAAGAGGGTGGGTGTTCATACCTGCTCCTCCACAGTCCTCACACCACTACTCTTCATTCAACAGATTTTTATTGAGCTGCCCCATGTGCCAGACTCGGGGGATATAGCAGTGAACAGGGAAGGTTCTATGAAGCTCAGAGACTAGTGGGAGAGATGGGTAATAAATAAGAAAACAGGTACAGTCAGTTCTCATTATTCGCGGTAGTTGTATTCTATAAGGTCACTGCAAACACTGAATCAATGAATACTGAATCGTTGCCCCTGTGGAAATATGGGCTGAGATTCTTGGAACCCTCTGATCACATTTTCATCCACCGATCAATATGTAACTTTGTTTTATGTGTGTTTCTGTTTAAAGACACTTTATTTAATATATACTGTTGATTCATTAACTTTGAACTCACAGCTGGCAGCACTGTAACTCATGCCTGAAAGACGTTTATCTGACATAACGTATTTTCTCCATAAGGCACGTCACAGCCTTCTTGTGCTTAGGAACACCAGACAGCATTTCAGCACTACAGTTGGGGGCCATTTTAAACAGTGAAATTAACAAAAAAAGCACAAGAAGGGGCCGGCCCAGTGGCGCAAGCGGTTAGGTGCGTGCATTCCACTGCGGCGGCCCGGGGTTCGCCGGTTCGGATCCCGGGCACGCACCATTGCACCACTTGGAAAGCCATGCTGTGGCGGCGTCCCATATAAAGTGGAGGAAGATGAGGCACGGATGTTAGCCCAGGGCCACTCTTCCTCAGCAAAAAAAAAAAAAAAAAAAAAGAGGAGGATTGGCAGATGTTAGCACAGGGCAGATCTTCCTCACACACACAAAAAAAGCACAAGAATGCAAAAAACATGGCTGTAAATATACCATGAAGACGACATTTGTCTACTGTATGAGCCCTTAGCTGAGAACATATTCATCCGGCAATTCAAATTTTTCTCCACTCTATGCATGTTCACAAATGACTGAAAAAGTGCCACAGGTATTGATTGGGGGTTAAAAATGAATTTTAGCAAGTAGATGAATTTGCAAATATGATGATCTGCGAATAAGGAGGACCTGTAATGTGTTTTCAGAGAGTGCTATTTAAAAATAAAAGTGGTGAGGAAATAGAGAGTAATGGGGGCTGCTGTGTGTGATAGGGCGGTTAGGGAAGGACTTTCTGAAGATGAAGACTCCAGCAGGGACCTACCTGAGAAGCAAGAGCACGGAGGCATATTTCCTCCTCTCTGACCCCCCTACACCCCAACAGCCACATACCATGTAGGGGGGTCATGGATGGGATGCTGGGCGGGTGGTGGGGGTCTTTGGGCAGTGGTGAGTTGATATGCTGGCTGTTCTCAGGGCTCCGGCTGGAGGGCGTATACCGGAAAGGGGGCGCCCGTGCCCGCAGCCTGCGGCTCCTGGCGGACTTCCGGCGGGATGCCCGGTCAGTGAAGCTCCGACCAGGAGAGCACTTTGTGGAGGATGTCACTGACACTCTCAAACGCTTCTTTCGAGAGCTTGATGACCCTGTGACCTCTGCGCGGTTGCTGCCTCGCTGGAGAGAGGCTGCCGGTATTCCCAAGTTCCCTAAGAACTCCTCCCAGGCAACCAAGGCCCAATCAGGAACTCCACCCACCCCACCAGAATCCCTGAGGCTCTCTTGTGGAATGGGGCAGCACCCCCTCCCCAGCATTCCCACCCCCATTCCCCCTGCGAGGATCGCCCAGGGACTCAGCTCAGGGCAAGGTGGGAAGGGGGCAGAGACCCGTCCACTGTAGGTTTTTTCCTGTAAAAATCCCTCCACCCTCCCTTCCCTGATCCTCTCCAACCCTCCCCTATTCCACCCCAGAGCTGCCCCAGAAAAATCAGAGGCTGGAGAAATACAAAGAAGTGATCGGCTGCCTGCCCAGGGTCAACCGTCGCACACTGGCCACCCTCATTGGGCATCTCTATCGGTCAGTATAGCCAGACCCCTTGCAGGCTCCCTCCCTGCAGCTTGTGCTCACCCGTTCATTGACCCATCCATTCATTCAGTAAACACTTACTGGGTCCCTACTGTATGCCAGGCCCTGGGCTAAGCTCCCTCCCTCATCATCTCTGTCCAACCCCCTGGCTTACATTCATTCATTCACCCCACAAACAGTTGTTAAGTGAAGGTGTCACACCGTAAAGGTTCACAGCATGGACTTTGGCGTCAGACAGACCTAGGCCTTAATCTGGCTCCACTGTTCTAGCATGTGACTTTGGATAAGTTCTTTGCTCTCTCTGAGTCTCAGTTTCCTCAATTGTAAGAGGAAGATGGTGTAATGAATAGCATCCACCTCATAGGTTACATGAAAGTTAAATAAGATAATCCTGGTAAATTCTTACTACAGTACCTGGCAGGTATGTAGTCCACACTAAGTGGTGAGCAATCAATATTATTTTGTTTTATTATTCTATGCCAGGCAAAGGATTAGATGTAGGAGACACAGAAGAATAAGATGCAGATCCACTTTTTTTTTTTTTTAAGGTTTTTTTTTTCCCCCCCAAAGCCCCAGTAGATAGTTGTATGTCATAGCTGCACATCCTTCTAGTTGCTGTATGTGGGACGCGGCCTCAGCATGGCCGGAGAAGCGATGCGTCGGTGCGTGCCCGGAATCCGAACCCGGGCCGCCAGTAGCGGAGCGCACGCATTTAACCGCTAAGCCACAGGGCCGGCCCTGCAGATCTACTTTTACCAGTCGACTGGGGAGACAGGTCGACTGGTCTTTAAATGATTTTAGGATGAACCCCAGTTGTGCTATACTGATTACACTCTATCACGGGGACTGGCCAATGATGGCCCGTGGGCCAAATCCAGCCCTTGCTTGTTTTTGTAAATAAAGTTTTGTACATAAAATGTAAAGCCATGCCCATTCATTTATATATTTTCTATGGCTCCTTTTACACTACAACAGTGGAGCTGAGGAGTTATGACAGACACTGTATGGCCTAGAAGTCCCTTTACATAAAAAGTTTGGTGACCCCTACTCTATTTAGAATCACCCACTCCTCGTCTGTCTCTCCCCTGGATTGGGAGCTTCCCAAGGCTTGTGTTTTACTCACTGCTGTATCCCAAGCACTTAGCCCAGGGCCTGGCATACAGTAGGGACCTAGTAAGTGTTTTCTGAATGAATGGATGGGTCGATGAGCGGGTGAGCACAAGCTGCAGTCCTCATGACCCTCACACCCTCTGCAGGGTGCAGAAGTGTGCGGCTCTAAACCAGATGTGCACGAAGAACCTGGCTTTGCTGTTTGCACCTAGCGTGTTCCAGACAGATGGGCGGGGGGAGCACGAGGTGCGAGTGCTGCAGGAACTCATCGATGGCTACGTCTCTGTCTTTGATGTAAGCTCTCATGACCCCTGACCTATAGTCTCTCTTCCTGGACTCTGGATCCTGCTTACCCCAACAAGCCCCTAGTCCAGCCCTTTGAAGGCCCTCTGCAACAGGAACCACCTCCCAGAGTCCTGGGCCCCTCCCTCCCATAGCCTCGCTCCTAACATCCTTGCTCCATTGGTTCTTAGCTCTTCTGGCCTCTAACCTTCTCATAGGGTGCTGTGATCTTGCACTCTCTCCCTGCTTCCCTCCTTTCCCAGTACCCCCCACCCCCACCCCGGCAACGCACACACATTCCCTCTTGGCTCTTCCACAGATCGACTCTGACCAGGTAGCTCAGATTGATTTGGAGGTCAGTCTTATCACCACCTGGAAGGATGTGCAGGTAACTTGTCCTGACCCTAGACTCCTGAGTGGGCCAGGAGGGGACATCAAGATAGGAAGCTGACCTTCTGCTACAGGACACTGGCCCTCGGCTTTCCAGGACACAGGGGAAACCCAAGGAGGGGAGTGTTTGGGGGAGGGGGCTTTGGTTTAGGATTTGCTCCATTTATTCCACCATGAGGATTCTTCATTACAAAATGGTGGCAGACGAGCCTCAGTTCCACATGTAAGAGATCCAAGGGAGAGTTAGCTAAGGTAGACGAAGAGGTGAGACTACTGTAATGATAATAAATACAGTAGCAATCAGCTGAGGACTTATCATAGTCCAAGCACCCGTAATCTCACTTTAGCATCACACAACTCCATGAAGTAGGTAGTCCCAGTGTTTTCCAATAAAGAAACTGAGGCCTTGAGGGTCACTTATTCAAGGTCATACTGTAGCGAGTGGCAGAGTTGGAACCCGCACAGTCTGACTCCAAACCTGTCCCCCAAGCACTAAGCTGCTTTGGCTTGGGAAGCACCTGCACAGCCTGAGGGTCCCGCCAGTCCTGGAGTTCTCCCTTTTAAGGGCCTGAATGATGCTGGGGCTGAGAGTTGGGAGAAGACTTTTGTGGGGGGGAAGCACTTATGAGGCAACATGAAGAGACCTCTGACCTTGACTCTTTGCATCCTCTGTGTCCTCCTGACTTCCCTTCCCCTCAGCTGTCCCAGGCTGGAGACCTCATCATGGAGGTTTATATAGAGCAACAGCTCCCAGACAACTGTGTCACTCTGAAGGTCAGTCCTGAGGGGACAGGAGCGGAGATGAGAGGATGGGGGGCGGGGGCAATGGCCTGACTAGCATGAGTCCTCTGCTTTTGCCCTGACCCCAGGTGTCCCCAACACTGACGGCCGAAGAGCTGACTAACCAGGTACTGGAGATGCGGGGGACAGCAGCTGGGACGGACTTGTGGGTGACGTTTGAGATTCTTGAGCATGGGGAGCTTGGTAAGTATGACCACGTGTATGTGTGTGCACGTGTGGTGGGGGGGGTCAAAGTCACCAATGACTTCTGTGTTACCAAATACAGCAGACACTGTTTTCATGCATGTGAGGGGACATTCCACACAGTGGCCACTCCCTCTTTCTGAATACTCTCTCCTCTCTTGGCTTTTGTGGACCCTACAAACCCTTGGTTTCCCTTCCACCTCAAACGAGGCTTCTCTTCCTCCTTTGCCCAGATTCCAAATGTTGGAGGGACCCAGGGCTCAATCCTGGACCTTTTCCCTTTCTCTGTTTACATTTCTCCTTGAATGAGCTCATCCATTCCCATGGCTTTAAATGTCATTAATAAGCTGGGCCCCAGATTTTTATCTCTGGCCCAGACCTCTCCTCTGAATTCCAGACCCACATATCCAACTGCCTACTTGACACCTCCACTTGTACGTCTCATAAGCATCTCAAATTTAAAACATCTAAGACCAAATTCAATTCCCAGCCCCCTCCCCTAACAAAAAGCTGAGGCCATTTCCTAGTTTTACCTAACTCAATCAGTAGCACTACCATTCATCCAGTTATCAAGGCCAGAAACTTGTGAGTCCTTTAGGACTCCTCCCTTTCCTTCATTTGCATACCCAACCCAATCAACTAGTCCTCTAGTCTATTCGAATCTGTCACTTCTCTCCATTTCCACCACTGCCACCACCCTGGTGGAAGTCACCATTATCTTTCTGCTCCCCAACGTCAACCACTAAAATATTTGGTCCCAGAAAGGGAATAGCTGGCCAGTGTTCCATTCTTGCCTCCCAACAATCCATTTTCCCCCACAGCAGCCAAATGAGCATTTCAAGCAGAAATCAGATCATGCCATTCCCACGGTTAAAACCTTCCACAGCTTCTCATTGAACTTAAAATAAAATTCCTTGTTATGGCCCACAAGACCCTGAATGTCTGGCCCTTGCTTATTTCTCAGACCTCCTCTCGCATAACTCATTCTTTTTGCTCCAGCCACTCTAGCTGTTTAGTTCCTCAAACACATCTTTCCTGACTTGGGGCCCTTGTTCCTGCATCTTGTCATGCTTGAAATCTTCTTCCCGCTGATCTTAGCATGGCTTGTTCTTCCTAATCCTTCAGGCCTCTAAGTCTCATCTCCAAATGCCTCCTCTGAAAGGCCTTGCCTGATCCCCCTATCTCAGTAGCTGCCATTACTCTCTCTCAGCTTCTTATTGTTTCTTTCAAAATAATTATTTGTCTTTAATTATCTTGTTGACTTATCTATTACTGTCTGCTCCCTGACTAGGCTGTGGGCTTTGTGAAGGCAGGCTTTGTATTTGATGCTCACCACTATATCCCCAGGGCCAACACAGCGCCTGGCAGAGTCAATGCTAAAATAAATGTCCGTGGCTGGATGGTGGAATGGATGAATGAATGAGTGACTGGTGGGAGAGGAGTTGGGGGCTCCAGGCTGTGGATGGATATACTAGTTGACACCCATCCCCACCTTGCCCCTTAGAGCGGCCACTGCACCCCAAGGAAAGGGTCCTAGAGCAGGCCCTACAATGGTGCCAGCTCCCAGAGCCCTGCTCAGCTTCCCTGCTCTTGAGAAAAGTCCCCCTGGCCCAGGCCGGCTGCCTCTTCACAGGTGAGCCTCCTCCTTCAGCCCAGCACCCCCACCCCCAGCCTGTCCCTCAGGACCCTCCACCTAGCACTGCCCATTTGTGTCAGGTATCCGGCGGGAGAGCCCGCGGGTAGGGCTGTTGCGGTGTCGGGAGGAGCCACCTCGCTTGCTGGGAAACCGCTTCCAGGAGAGGTTCTTTCTGTTGCGTGGCCGCTGCCTGCTGCTGCTCAAGGAGAAGAAGGTGGGGCTCTGGGGCCAGCGGGGAGGGACACTGGGTGGCTATGTGAGAGAAGCCACGACTGCATGGACCCTCTCACTCCACAGCCCGTACTGTCATCAATCTCATTGCTTTCCTGGCTCTTTAACCTCTCTGACCCTGTGATCCCATAACCCCAATGCTTGCGTGACTTCCCGACCTCATTAACAATGATCCTTCTCTCACCTCTCAACCTCACTGACTCCCTTCATGTTCTCAGAGCTCTAAACCAGAACGGGAATGGCCTTTGGAAGGTGCCAAGGTCTACCTGGGAATCCGCAAGAAGTTAAAGCCTCCAACGCCGTGAGTTTTCTTCCCCAGCCCACACTTCCAGGGCTTTCCTGCCGTCACCTCATGGCCTTTCTGATCACTCCATCACTATTCTCCTTTGCCTCTAGGTGGGGCTTCACGTTGATACTGGAGAAGATGCACCTGTGAGTACCTCCCACCCTGGCTTCTTCTCTGACCCAACCCTGCTCCCATCCTCCATCTCCTGGCTTTTTCTATCCTCCATCCCTATAGCCGTGACCCCTCCCCTCCTACTAATTCCTCTCTGATCACCCCCAGCTACCTGTCCTGCACTGATGAGGATGAGATGTGGGACTGGACCACCAGCATCCTCAAAGCCCAGGTGAGGGGAAGGAGAAGGCTGAGGGCTAGGTCTGTGGTCTGTGGTCCCAGCTCTACCCCTCAGTACTTCCCATGCCCACCTCTGCCATCCCTCACCCTCTCTCCAGCATGACGACCAGCAGCCAGTGGTCTTACGACGCCGTTCCTCCTCTGACCTTGCCCGTCAGAAGTTTGGCACCATGCCTTTGCTGCCCATCCGTGGGGATGACAGTGGGGCCACCCTCCTCTCTGCCAATCAGACCCTGGTGAGGTCCCCCCAGCCTGCCCCAACCCCTCCTGATCCCTGCCCGTGCCCTTGCCAAACTACAGGAGGGAGTGGTGTGCCTGCCAGCCTGGTGCCCCCCTCTGCCTTCTCTGTGCTCCCACTCCCCACCCTCGCCTCTTGTTGCCAGGCCTCATTGTGTCTCTGTGTCTCTTCTCCCCTCATCCCTACCTTACCTCTGCCCAGCGGCGACTTCACAATCGGAGGACCCTGTCCATGTTCTTTGTGAGTACTGTGCCTTCTCCAGCTGTGTGCCTGTCAGCCCTGTGTTCCTCTGTGCTGCCTGAGCTGGTGTGCTCTCTGAATTTGTCCTGATGCAGGCCATCGGCGTGTGTGTGTGTGTGTGTGTGTGTGTGTGTGTGTGTGCGTGAGAGAGAGAGTCAGTGAGTGAGTGTTGGGGCCAGAACGAATGAGGAAAATGAGGGATGGTAAGCTGTGGTGAGGAAAGGGGCAAGTAGTCTCAGGATCTGAGAAATAGAAGGAAAGTGGTTAAGTGAATGCATTTTGGAGTCAGACAGACCTGGGTTCAAGCCCAAGCTCTACAATTTACTCCCTGTATGATCTTGGGCAACCTACTTAACCCCTCTGTACCTCACGTCAGTCACCTGCAGTGGTAACCCATTGTACAGGGTTGTTTTGATATCATATATGCACAGTATTTTGCAGCATCTTGTTGAGAAGAAGAGCTCAATAAATGTGAGTGATTAGTAGTCTGATAACTCTAACGCTGTGCCTGCCTCCTGCCACCCCATTCCCATCCAGCCGATGAAGTCATCCCAGGGGTCGGTGGAGGAGCAAGAGGAACTGGAGGAGCCTGTGTATGAAGAGCCAGTGTACGAGGAAGTGGGGGCCTTCCCCGAGCTGACCGAGGACACCTCCACCTCCTTTTCCACCACGTGGGAGCGGACAGCCAAGTCAGAGACCTCCCTCGCCAGCCAGAGGTCCTTTGATCAACTCCTTCTCTCCAAGCCAGGCACCCTGGGCCAGGAGGAGAGGCCACCTGAGCCTCCTCCGGGCCCCCCTTCAAAAGGCAGCCCCCAGGCACATGGGTCCCTGGAGGAGCAGCTGCTCCAGGAGCTCAGTAGCCTCATCCTGAGGAAGGGAGAAACCACCATAGGCGCGGGCAGCCCCTCCCAGCCCTCTAGCCCCCAGCCCCTGAGCTCCAGCGACCTTCCAACACAGACACCTGGCTTCCCCAGCCAACCTCCCTGCACTTCTAGTCCACCCTCCAGCCAGCCCCTCACATGACCCTGGGACCACAGTCTGAGGGAGTAGGTTACCAAAAGACTCTCATCATGGCAGACATTGCTGGGAGCTTCTTCTGCTCTGGCTGAAAAGACTCTAGAATCCAGTGTGGTACTGTGGAAGGAGCACAGGACTGAGGGCTCTGGAGGCTGTGTCCTGCCCAGGGAGTGAGCCTCCACTCACTTATCTGTGCCATGAGGTAACTAAAATAAGAAGAACAGTGAAGGTCAAACTGTCTCTGAGAGCTGTAAGCCCCACGTATTTTCCCTCACAAGGGCAACTCTTGCTTTATATATTTGATAGGTAGGGGTTCTGTGAGAGAGTTGGGGTTTTAAAAGAATGGTTTTACTGCATTAAAGAAAAAAAAGATTTGGAAGCCTGAGATCTGAATGACTCTAAGTCTATCCTACCCCACCTCCTATATTCAGAGACTACACTGGAGTCCTAGAGGGGGGAGGCTGACTGGGGTTGGGAGCTGAGGCAAAGAGGAGCCAAAAGGATGGGTCATTGTTAATAAATCGTAGAACCAAAAGGCTACTATTCTTTTATTCACTCATTTGTTCGTTTGTTCATTCATTCATTCAACAAATATGTATTGAGCACCTAACTGGTGCCAGGTCCTGGGGATATACTATGAACAAAACAGATGGAGTCCCTGTTCTTATGGAGCTTCCACTGTAAAGGGGGAACAGAAAATAGAAAATACCCACAAACAAATTCAGTGCCGTGAAGTAACTAAACCAAAGTGATGTGCTGGAGAGTGATGGTGGAGGTGGCCTTTAGGCTGTGTGGATGGAGAAGGCCTCTACGAAGAGTTGAAACTTAAGGTAGGAAGCCAGACATGTGGCATGCTGGGAGAAGGAGCCTCTGGAGACGGAAAGCAGCAGGCATGAAGGTTCTGCAGTGGGAAGAGACTTGGCCTGTTGGGGGAACAGCGAGGAGGCTGGAGGGGCCAGAGCACAGTGAGTGGGAGCAGGAGAAGAGAACGGGCTGAAGAGGGAAACATTGGCAGGGGCCCGATCATGCACAGACTTGTAGGCCATGCTAGGGCATTTGGATTTTATTCTGAAGCAATCGAGGAGGTTTAAGGAAAAGAGTGATGAGACCTTATTTCCTTTAAAAAAAAAAAACAAAAACGATGACTCGGGTTTTTTTGTAAACAATGGGTTGTAGTGGGGAAGAGGGGAAGCAAGGAGAGCAGATATTAGACCAGGAGACTGCTAATGGGGGCTTGGATTAGGTTGGTGGTTTTGGAAATTGAGGGAAGCACATTTTAGAAACAGAAACCTATAGGAACCTATAGGACTTGCTGATGGATAGAATGTGGGGTTAGGGGAAATAGCACACTGACTCTGGGTTTCTGAATTTACTAATGATGGAGAGTGGTGCCATTTAGTATGTTACTGGGGGAGGTGACTGGGGAAGGATCAGGTTGAAGGAGACGTTTTAAAAGTTTGAGGTACCTATCAGATATACAAATGGAGGTGTCAGTAGCCTTTGGATATGTGAATCTGGAGTTTGGGGCCACAGAACACTGCCTTTTCCAAGTCGGCGGTGTGGCGACCCGAGCTGGGCCAAGGATAGATGAGGGGGATGAGGAGAGGGTGTGTGGATCCTCAGAAAGCAGTGCTGGGGCTGATAAATCCTGGGGTACAGAGCCTGAAGGGCAGATCCTAAAGGTGAGGGGGCTTTCTGGACTGAAAGGTCTCACGCTCAGCTCCCAGCTCACGCCCACTCGCTGGTATTGTTTAGTTTCCACTGGCCCGGGATGTACCTGTCTTTTCCTCTGAGATTGGCTCCTTCCTGGCTCCAGGCGTCTTTCTCACCCCCGCTCACGCTGGCTTTTCCAGTTCAGTGGGAATTAGGAAAGGTGTGGGACCAGCCTTCTTTCCCTGGTCAGACACATCTTCGCTCAGGCATCCAGTGACTCAGTTTCCCTAGTCACAGATTGAGTTCCTCGCCATTCTTCACCCTTCTCGCCGAGACTGGAGATCTGCATATGTAAATAAATGATTAGAAATAGTTACGAGCTGAGTCAGCGGCTCCACTAGAAATAGAAGCCAGGCGTCGTCTGGACTCAGAAACCTGGGGTTCCCACTACTGCCCAGCGGAAGCGGCGTCTACCCGGCAGCCCGGACCCTTTCCGGGGTATTTGCAATAGCACAGGTTTACGTAGTTCCTCCGCGGCCCCCTAGCGCTTAGCCCGGCAGCGCGTAGCCAGCCCAGACGTGGGCGGGGCGAGGGCGGAGCTGGGCCAGGTCCGGGGCGGGGCTTAGGCGTGGGCGGGGCTTCCTCGAGTTCCGGAGTCCAGTTGACGCCTGGGCCAGAGCAAAGATGCAGCCGCCGCCCCGAAAAGTAAGCTTCGCCTGGGAATGGGGACTCCTGGCGGGCTAGGGGAGTGGAGGGAGCCAGGAGGGGCATCAGACCCGCGGGGGGGACAAGGAGTGGGAAAGAGTCAGGGCCCAGCCCAGAAGTAACCGAGGAAACAGCCCAGCCCCTCCCCGGCCCCGCCCCCTCTCCGTTCCCTGCGCGGAGTGGTTTTCAGGTCCCCGCGCTGGGGGTCTTCAACCTCTTCTTACCCCTACAGGTGAAGCCGGCCCAGGAGGTGAAGCTTCGCTTCCTGGAGCAGCTGAGCATCCTTCAGACCCGGCAGCAGAGGGAGGCGGATCTGCTGGAGGACATCAGGTAGCCCCTGACCCTCCTGCCCCCTCCACAAACCCCCACCTTCGCGGTCGCCTATTCCATCTGTCCTCCAACACACATCGTCGGGGCGGGGCGGCGGAAGGTGGGGGGCGGGCGAAGGTGAAGAGCTTTCTAGCCTGCCCATTCACAGCCCTCAGCCTAGGCCTGCCTCTCCAGATACCGGATAGGAATTATCCCCCCTCTCACTCCGACACACACACGGGGACTCTCCTTCAAACCCGTTGACTCCACACCACTCGCTCCACCTCCACAATCGAGCTTAGGGCAGAATCCCCCCTCCCTCTTCCAGACCTGTTGGAAGGCTGGCGGATACTGTACCCAGGCCCCCATCAGTCCTCACCTCCAAGCCCACAGATGGTTCTCCAGGGGTAGGGAGGATCCTGCTGAGGCTCTGAGCAGTGAGGTGAGGTTGTCCTGTGTTATGGCTGCCCGAGGTGATCTCAAGGACTCTCTCTCTTCAGTCTCATTCCCTCCTGGTGTAGTCACACTCTAGGCCTGGCTCGCTTCTTCCTCCTGCCCAGGCTGAGGAGAGGATTGAGGTGGGAGAAGAGGACCAAACAGTAACACCACCCTACCCCCTAATCTCCACAGATCCTACAGCAAGCAGAGGGCAGCCATTGAACGAGAGTATGGGCAGGTATGGGACTCCTTTCTCTGGACCTTCCCTTTTGTTCTACACCACCAGCGATGCCCCTCCACACATACCCCTCTTCTGGTCAAGAGTAAATGTGTAGAGTCAGGCAGATTTGTGTCAAATCTCTGCTGTGCTACTTATTAGTTTTGTGACCTTGGACAAGTTATTTAGTCATTCTTGGCCTCAGTTTCTTTCTCTATAAAATGAGAATAATAATAATTGTACCTTCATGTAGGGTTGTTGTAAGGATGGAATAAGTTAATGTATGTAAAGCACTTAGCAAAGTGAGTGGCACGTAATATGCATCCAGTGAATGGCATTATTATACTCTGATCCCGATCTCCCAGTTGGGAGGTTTGAAAGGGAATTGGGTCTGTGATGACTTTCCCACTAGGCACTCCAGAAACTGGCTGGGCCATTCCTGAAGAGAGAAGGGCACCGGAGCGGGGAGATGGACAGCAGGTGAGTCTCATGAGGGAGGGGGGCAAGTGGCCAAGAAGGGATGAAGAGCTCAATCCCAGAACCTATGGGGATGAAGGCCCAGTGAGGGGGGATGGCACGTGAGCTGCAGGTAGAGCTGACACAGCAGTAGGAGAGGAGCTGACCCAGCAAGGACACTGTGGGTGGGGGTGGAGGGCGTGAGTGATCCTTGTGGCTGAGCTAATGGGCTGATCGATTGATGGGCTCCCAGATGAGGGGGGATGGGAAAGCACTCTGTCTCCCATGGTGTTTTGGGGGGTGGTCTCATGAAGCTTTGTAGTGTTCCCCTCCTCAACATAGACTTTCTCTGGGGAGAGGCAGGATGGTGTTTGGTGCCTGGCGCTGCCTGCTGGATGCCACTGTGGCTGGGGGCCAAGCCCGGCTCCAGGCATCTGACCGATACCGTGACCTGGCAGGGGGCACAGGGCGGAGTGCCAAGGAGCAGGTGCTTAGGAAGGTATGGCTCAGTGGATGGGGTGAAAGAAGGGCTGGCTCGGGGCTGGAGGTGGTGTGGGTCAGGACATTGTGTGTCTATACCCCTAGGGAGCAGAGAACCTCCAGAGGGCACAGGGTGAGGTGCTGCAGTCTGTCAGGGAGCTGAGCCGAAGTCGGAAGCTGTATGGGCAGCGGGAACGCGTGTGGGCCTTGGCACAGGAGAAGGCGGCTGATGTCCAGGCCAGGTGGGAGTTAGGAATCCTGGGTAGAGGTGGCGGTGGAGCTGAGGCACCACAGCTGGGCCTGACCTCCACCTTCTCCCTCTCCTGCACAGGCTGAACCGAAGTGACCATGGGCTCTTCCACACTCGGACCAGTCTCCAGAAACTCAGCACCAAGGTTCGGGGGATTCAGGCATGAGTAGGGGGCAGTAAAGAGGTGGGCAGAGTAGTCTAGTGGTTTGGAACTCAGGGGCATAACTCTGAGAGACTGGGTTGAATCCAGGCTCCCCTGCTTCCTAGGTCTGTGACCTTGGTTAACTTACTTGATCTCTCTGAGCCTCATTTTCTTCATCTATACAATGGAAATAGTACTTTTCTTTTGCATTCCTTTAATATGCATTTATTGAGGACTTCTATGTACTAGGCATTGCTCTAAACACTGGGATGCAGTGGAGAACACTACCAATGGAGTTGCTGCTCTCACAGACTGGTGAGGGGAGACAGATTGTAAATAAATGAATAATCAGATTAAATGAAAATAAAACAAAGTGCTATGATAAAGGGTAAAAGGAGTGTAATTTAGAGAGAAAGCCTCTCTGAGCAGGTGGCCTGAGTGTTAAGAAGGAGCCAGCCATGCAAAGATCTAGAGGAAGAACATTCCAGGGAGAGGACATGGTGAGCACAAAGGCTCTGAGTGGGAATAACTTTGTAGGCATGAGAAACTGAGAGAAGGCAAATGTGGCTGGAGCACTGTGAGCAAGGGGCCAAGCACTGTGACAAGAGGTCAGAGAGGTTGCGGGGGCTAGCTTATGTTGGACCTGGTAGACCACAGTTAGGAGCAGTTGGGATTTTATTTTAAATGTATGGAGACACCACTAGAGGATTTTGAGCAGGGGTTGTGAGTATGTAAAATTTTTAGCATAGTGCCAGGCATCTCAATAATGTGAGAATCCATTCTGGATCCAGGTTAGCCTTGGAAGGACCCTGAAGGTCCAGGGCTCGCTGTTGACACTATTTTCCCCTCCTAGCTGTCTGCCCAGTCGGCCCAGTACTCCCAGCAGCTGAGAGTGGCCCGCAATGAATACCTGCTCAACTTGGTGGCCACCAATGCCCACCTTGACCACTACTACCAGGAGGAACTGCCGGCCCTGCTCAAGGCCAGTCCCAGCCCAGATACCCCTGCCTCTCAGCGGGGAGTGGGGAGGGCTTCTCCCTGCTTCCCACCACCATGAGGCTGGGTGGTGCTAGGGACCTAGCCTGCTTGGAGTGGGGAGAAGATACATACTTAGGTTCTGATTTTGGTTCTGCTTCAAGCTGGCTGCATAACATTATGCAGGACACTTAACCCCTCTGAACTCCAGTTTCCTCATCAGGGATAACCTCTGCTCTGCCTACTTTATAAGGCTAATGGGACTCAAGGGAGAGAATGGATATGAAAATGCTTTTTAAACTGTTAAGTGCTGTGCACACATGAGGGCCTATTATTAGAAGCAGTATAATGTCTTATTCCTTCCCTCTTTCCCGTACCTCATGCTTATCACCCATCCAAACTTGGACAGAGAGCCTGTTTTGCAGTAGAGGCCTGGGGGAAGGGTGTTGTCAGTATCTTGGGGTTCTCTCTAGGCCCTGGTCAGTGAGCTGCTGGAACACTTGAGGGACGCCCTGACCTTACTGAGCCGCACTGAGCTGGAAGCTGCAGAGACGGCCCTGGAGCATGCCCACTGCGGGGGGCAAGCAACCTCCCAGGTGAGGGCTGTGCCCTATAAGAGCTCCCCAGAGATCCTCTTTACCCTTCTCTCCCAACACAGACCACCCACTGCATGTCTGCCCCTTTCCTTCTCGCCTTGTCCTCTTTCTTCCAAGAGGGCCTGGGGATAGACTTGGAGAGGGAGCCAGTGAGTGACTGACTTTTTCCAACCCCCAGGTGAGCTGGGAGGAGGATCTGAAGTTCTTTCTTCAGGAGCCTGGAGTATTTTCCCCCACACCACCTCAGCAGTTTCAGCCAGCAGGGACTGATCAGGTAAGACCTCCCTGCTCGTTGGAACCAGGCCAAATGTAATGAGGACTGTGGTTTAGGCCTCCTCCCCATTATCCTTGTCCTGGTATTAACTTAGTGACTGTTAAACCATAGAGAGGGAGTTTCAGAACTCTAGTTCACCTCCTTCCCACCAGGACACAAATTTACATACTTCATTCCACCTTTCTGTCCCTTCACTGCACTGTGCTCTTCATTCCACCTCTGTCCCTCAATCCGGTTCCCATTCCTGGGACTCTGTGTCTATGTGTCCACACAAATGCACACCTGTGTCCACGGAACACATAGGTGTGTGCCCCATCTCTTTGTCCCTGTCCCTGGAGGCCACGACAGAGAGAGGAAAACGAGGAGGGAACTGGAGGGAAGGGGGGTAGAGAAGGAGCAGCATCAGGCCCTCCTCACAGCACCCCGGTCATCAGGTGTGTGTCCTGGAGCTGGAAGGGGGTGCAGGAGGCGTGGCTGGGGAGAGCGGCCTGGAGAAAGAGGTTCAACGCTGGACAAGCCGAGCTGCCCGCGACTACAAGATCCAGAACCATGGGCATCGGGTGAGGTGGGGGGTGCAGGGGTCGTGGGTGGGCAAGAAGAGACGAGGACAGGGATCCTGGAGTCACTGGGGATGTCTTGGGACTGCAGGCAGGAGGGGAGGGAAAGGTATTTTAAGCCAACAGTGTGGCACAGTGGTTCAGAGCACAGCTTTTGGGGTTAGACCCACCTCAGTTCCAATCCTGCTCTGTTGCTTCCTAGTTATGTAACCGTGAGTAAGGGAGTGACTTAACCTCGCTGGACCTCAGTTTCCTCCTCATTAAAGTGGGGCTAATAATAGCACCCTCCTCATAGAAAGATTAAATGACATAATGCATGTGAAGCAAGTAGCAAAGTGCCAGGTCCACAGTAAGTAGTTCCCCATAGTATCTCCACCCACCCCTGTCCTCTGTCTTCCCAACAGGTGCTGCAGCGGCTGGAGCAGAGGCGGCAGCAGGCTGTAGAGCGAGAGGTTCCAGGCATAGAACAGCGGCTGCAGGAAGTGAGGGAGAGCATCAGGCGGGCACAGGTGAGGCACAGCCCTGGGGGTTAGGGCCACTAAGATCCCACCCCATCAGGCAACACTCCCCTCCACTCCTCTGTCTGATGAAGGGGTGGGGGGAAGCGGGAGGTAGAGGGTGGACATATTTGGGGAGGCTCCACTCACCTCCCAAAGGCAGGCCCAGCCATAGCCTTGAGTGAGCCCTCTTCCCCATGTCAGGTGAGCCAGGTGAAGGGGGCTGCTCGGCTGGCCCTACTGCAGGGGGCTGGCCTGGATGTGCAGCACTGGCTGAAGCCAGCCATGACCCAGGCTCAGGACGAGGTGGAGCAGGAGCGACGGCTCAGTGAGGCTCGGCTGTCCCAGAGGGACCTCTCTCCCACGGTGAGCCCCCTCCACTCCCTACCCATATGCACCCAGGAGGGTAAAACTCCCCAGTGGAAGGCAGACCCTGTAAAATGGGAATCACAACAGTACCTAGCTCAAAGGATAGTTGTGAGGCATAAATGAAATCATTTAAGGATAATTGTTTGTAGCATATAGAGTCCTCAACAAACTTTTATTATGAGTATAGGATGGTGGTTTGAACTGAGGTTCTAGGAGTAAGACGGTAAGTGGGTCAAGTATCAGCCACTCACTTATTGGCTGTGTGATCTTGGAAAGTGACTTAACCTATCTGAGCCTTAGTTTCCTTATAAGTAAAATGAGGTTAATAGTTATACAAAACAACCCTGGGTTATTATACATCATATGTGACATGCATAAGATATTTAGCATTGTGCCTGGCACATAGTAAGCACAAATACTGTAACTCTGCCATTATTGTTAGTGTTACCCTGCTCTGTTGTGATTTTGCTTGTGATACATGGTGAATGAATGGGTGGTACTACCTTGGAGGAGGATCTGCCGTGTTCTTTAAGGGTAGGATGGAGGAGCGCGAGATACAATGGGTACTTGAGAGTGGGCCCCACAATGATGTCTGTTCTCTGCCCCCTCCAGGCTGAGGATGCTGAGCTCTCTGACTTTGAGGAATGTGAGGAGACAGGGGAGCTCTTTGAGGAGCCTGCCCCACCGGCCCTTGCTACCAGGCCCCTCCCCTGCCCTGCACATGTGGTGTTTGGCTATCAGGTGTGAATGGGGGTGGGGACCTCAGATGGGCAGGTATGGGGGACAGCCAAGTCCTGAATCCTTCCTTGTGGGGCCCAGGCAGGGCGTGAGGACGAGCTGACCATCACAGAGGGTGAGTGGCTGGAGGTCATAGAGGAGGGAGATGCTGACGAATGGGTCAAGGTGGGTATGGACCCTGGGCTTTGACAGGGGGAGAGGGAGGCAGGAGGGACTTGGCAGGGGGAGAGGGAGGCAGGAGGGACTTCTCTGAGGCCTGCAAAGACCCACCCAGGCAAACCTAGAAGCCTGTGTGGAGGAGGGCTGGGGCCATGGACTGCTGAGGCAAGTCTGCTATCTGTTCACCTTGCTGGGTGAGCAGGCTCGGAACCAATACGGCGAGGTAGGCTTTGTCCCTGAGCGGTATCTCAACTTTCCGGACCTCTCTGTCCCTGAGAGTGGCCATGACAGCGACAATCTCTTGGGAGTAGAGCCCACAGGTAAGAAAGGGAAATGCTGGGTCAGGGGACCCTGGGTATGGAGAAGAGTTACTGAGTGGTTGTGGCCCTGGGACTTCATGGTCCTGGGCACCACCACCCACCTCCTCGCCTCCTCATCTCTCTTGGGCTTTGGCAGCGTTCCTGGCCTGCGCCCTGTACAGCTACACAGGACAGAGTGCAGAGGAGCTGAGCTTCCCTGAGGGAGCGCTCATCCGCCTGCTGCCCCGAGCCCAGGACGGAGTGGATGACGGCTTCTGGAGGGGAGAATTTGGGGGCCATGTTGGGGTCTTCCCCTCCCTGCTGGTGGAGGAGCTGCTTGGCCCCCCAGGGCCACCTGAACTCTCAGATCCTGAACAGGTGAGGCTTCCTTCTCTCTGGGTCCCCAGGCACCTCTGGGTTGACCCTCCAACCTAGCGAGGCCCCAGATTCATCTTCATGCCCCCTCGCCTCTCCAGGTTTACCTCCTATAGTGGCTTGAGCCTCCCTGTCTCCTCTGGCTGGGCAGAGCAAAGGGAAACCAAGGCAGTCTTCATAAGAGTTTGGTGGAGAGAGCTGGTTAGATCTGAGTTCAGATTCCTATTGCATTACCTTGGGCAGGGATTTAACCTCTGGGCTTGTTTCTTCATGTGTAAAACGGGGATAATAATACCTGCTTCCACAGGCTACCTATACTGATCAAAAGTAATGGACGTAAAGGCTTGAGCACAGTGGCCCACAGGAGGTGCTTTCATATAGGGTACCTATTGTTGTAATGCAGCAGGAAAAGCAGAGGAGTGGGAGCCAGGAGACCTGGGTTCTAGCCAGGACTCTCCACTAACTGGATCCATGATTTTGGATAGATGGCTTAACCCAAATCTCGCCTCTAACGTAGGAATCATAAAAATCCCCACCTCACGGAGTGGTGGTGAGGAATGAATGAATTAGTGCATGTAAAGTGCTAGCAGAATGCCTGGGACATAGCAAGTGCCAATACATATTGGCTGTAGAAATGCTTATCAGCTACAGTCCACCCAGATGTAAGCATTTGGCCACTCTGTATTGGGGAGAGATGGGACATGAATTGAAGATGGAATGAAAGGAAAAGCTGGTGAAACCTTCCTACATGCCAGGAGTAACTCTGTGTTCCCCTCATCCCCAGATGCTGCCATCCCCTTCTCCTCCCAGCTTCTCCCCTCCTGCACCCACCTCTGCCTTGGATGGTCCTCCTGCATCTGTCCTACCCAGGGGTGAGTAGAGGGAATTGGGGGCTCTGGGAGGGAAAGAGATGGGAAGGAGGAGGATGCTTGGGACTCCTGTGTTACACTCGGCTCCTCTGCCTGCCCTTGGGAACCTCCTCCATTGGGCTCATTGAAGCATGATGGTGAGAAGAGTTTGGGCTTTGGAGCTAGGACCCCTGTTCAAACTCTACTCTGGGACTTCCTAGCGTGGGGATGTGGGGCAGGATATTTAACTTGTCAGGGCCTTTACAAAGTGAGAAAGGTCTCTACCTCGTTGAGTTGTTGTGAGAGTTAAAAAGATGTCTGTAAGGTGCCCAGCATTGTGCCTGGCACAGAGCAAGCATGCAAATAGTAGCTGTTTTCTTATTATTATTACTTTAAAAATTAGCCAGCATCTCCCACAGGGTTCCCAATGTGCTTCCTCTACTCTTAGTACTCTTAGCAAACACCTCAGTTTGTGTCATCATTTTCCTTCTTGGAATGTCCACCTTTTCTAAAACCTTCTGGTGCTTTCACTTTCTTCACCAAGCCTCCCTCTCTGACCCTAGGGCCCCCTGTGCATTTTCTGCACCCCCTCTCCAGCACCTGTAGTTCACTTGGCATGATTTAGCACTCAGTCATTCATCATGTTTGTTGGTGTTTTCATCATTGGGTTCCTGACAGCCCCTGGGGGGCGGGGGTACTGTGGATCAGACCTCCCCTTCTCTGTTAACTTGAGCAGGGCTGATTATACAGCAGGTGCCCAGTAAGTGTTGAGGATGGATTGATGGATTTTGTGGGCCAGGTTGGTGACTATTTGTTAATTCAACAAATATTTAGAGAGTACCACTGTCCTAAGTGCTGGAGATAACAGCAGTGAACAAAACAAAGCTGAAGACTGACTTGTGGTTCTTGTTTCTAGACCAAGACCTGGACTGCCCTGGACCCCTGGATATGATGGCACCTCGCCTCAGGCCGGTAAGGGCCCCTCCCCTGGAGGAGATTGTGTGGAGAGGGGTCATTCCGACTTGTCCTGTTTTGTTTGCGGGGCTGAGGGAATGGACGGGTTATCTCCAAGAGAGACCTGTGGAGCCCTGACTGTGTGTTCCCTACAGATGCGTCCACCACCTCCCCCACCGGCCAAAGCCCCGGATCCTGGCCACCCAGATCCCCTCACCTGAAGCCAGGGGTATCTCTGCCCCCCAGTGACGCTGCTGCCCCTATCTCCACACTGTCAGAGAACACCCCCTCAATGATCCAGAGTGATACAGCCAAAGGCGGGAATCTCCCCCATTTCCACTCTCACCTCCAGGAGTAGAAACTTCTCCTCTTCCCATTTCTGGGGCTGGAACCCACTCTCTTTTCCCCATCGTGCTGCTGTCTCTAAGGCTGGAACTACTCCTTTCTCTTCTCCCCCATCCATCTCTAAGGTGGTGAAATATCCTGAAATCTCTGGGGCTGGAACCCATCCCTCAAAGTCTTGAGTGGCTCTGGCCCATCTGTGTGTCCACCCTGGCTCTGTGACCCACCCCACTCCAGATGCCAGGGCCACTGGTTTGGGGGCTGGGACAGGGGCAGGCCTGTCAGAAGGAGCTGGAGCCAGTATGCGAAGCAGCTGTAATGGTCTGAGCGGATTTATTGACAGTGAATAAAGGGCACGAAGCCCAAGCCAGAGCCTGGGCCTCTTGTGCCAAGAGAGCAGGGGACTGAGGTGCTATTGCTTTAGGGGCCTACCAAGGGCAGGGGCCTGCTCTCAGCTGCCACACTCTAGCATATGGAGCGAGGTGATGGGGAAGGCGGGTCAGGCGGCCTGTTGGCAGGCGGGGGAAGGGAACAGACTGAGAGCCGGGGGTTGGGGGAACTTCTCCCGAGGTCCCCCAGCCTGAGACTGTGCAACTCCAGGTGAAAGTAGGGCTGTTCCCTCAGCTGGGGGGCAGTGCTGTCCAGTGGAGAGGAGGGGCTTCGTGCCCACCCATCCCCGGCCCTGCCAGCTGGTAGTCCATCAGCCCAACGAAGGAGGAGGCTTGGAGGAGAGCAAAGGTAACAGAGTTGCCTCCTATTCAAGCTGTGTCCCAGCTTTTCCCCGGGGCTGCAGGACCTTCCCTATCCCCTGGAGCACATGTCCACTCCCCACCACCAAACCAAGGAATTTATAGCAAAGGCTAAGCCTGCAGTTTACCCTGGGTATACAGGGAGCCAATGGACTTAGGTAGTTTAAGTAGGGGGTGGGAGGATGAAATTTTCTGATTTGGGGCAGGTAGACTCACCTCACACAGCCCCTGCTCCCCGTGGTGGGGACACCTGAGAGAGAGGAGGGGTCAACAATGGGAGAACAGGACGTGGGTCATATTAGTGTCCCCCAGCATAGGGGGCAATAAGAGCTGAGCCCACCACAGGCCACCATAGCCCTGGCCATGTCTTCATACCTGGTGATCTGAGGTGTCCAGTTTGCTTGGCTGTCCATTTGCCTCTTGACTGGCCAGCCCTGGGCTTGGGCCCCTCCCTCCAGCCCCTAGCATTGGCTCTACAGAGGCTCCAGGGTTCCTCTCAAGTGCACAAGGGACTAGGCTGCTGTCCCTGAGTCCTCCATTCTGCACTGGGGGGCTGGTGATGGCTGGGGGCTGTGGCCTCTCGGGGGGCAGGCTCTCAGTGGCAGGCATCCCTGCCCTGGGATGCCCTCCCCCAGACCCCTGACCGCCCCCTGGGTCCTGCCCCCCACCAGACCCCCAGCTCCTGTCTGTGGGGGAGCCATCACGATGCTCATGCAGCCCGTAGCGCTTCTCAATGTGTGTCACCCGGAACCTGGGAGGGGAGGGAACACTGGGGCTTAGGACCACAACTCAGAGGCTGCTTGGCCCCTTCCTCCAGCCAGGGATATTCTGGGTTTTATGGCCACTTCCTTCTGGCCTAGGGCAGGGGAGACCTCTTCAGATTCAGGGGCACATTGTGCAGCCTGACTCCTGCTGTAGCTCATAGCTCACAGTCCAGGAAGAAAGCCGGGGCCAACCTTTGGAGTCAGGTGCCTGATCATTGGGGCCCCCACCTCAACCTCTCTTTCCCTGGGGTACTCTATCCCCACCTGCCCACAGAGAACACGGTGGTCTCCCCAGGCCGGGGGCGGCTCTTTCCTTCCTTGGAGCGTCCCTGACGGACAAGTGGAGGCCTCTTGTTGCGGCTGCAGTGGATGCAAGGGGCTGCAGAGCCCAGATGCACTGTGTGATGATGGGAGGGGGCTCCGTCCTGCAGGCTGGAGGTGGCATCCATGCTGGACAGTAGGGAGGAAGGGAGAAGGAGTGACATTCCCATTTCCCTTCCTGATCCATTTTCTTCTATTCTTTCAGCGTGCTCCTTAAACCCCCAGATGCCCCACTTTCCCCAGGCCCCAACATTCTTTTCTTGTCTTTATCTAATAAACTCAATATTAAGATGTTAGTGACCATGCGTTCTCCCTCCCACGGCTGTTTTGCTAAAAAGAGAGCAGTACTTAACCCAAAGGAGTGGCACAGGGGGTGAATGTTAGGCTTGATGACATCCAGATGGGACATAGGGTTTTAAGAACTCAGGACTTCTACACAACTTCTTTCTTCCTATAGCTTAGCCAGCCTTGCTCTCGCCCCTGACCCCAGACATGCGAGGAGACTTGGTGAGGATTGTGCTGGAGGAGAGGGTACTCTCCAAGGCAAGCTAAGTCATGCTGGCACTTGTTTCCAGCTCACCTGGACAGCTGCACTGTCCCTTCTCCTTCACTGTCCCCCAGCATCTCCTTCAAGGCCTCAGCATTGGCTGAAGGGAGAAGGAAAAGAGGGAGTCAGTGGAGGTGGAGGTCAGGGCAAGAGAAAGTCGAGGAGGGGGGAGCAAGGGGCCAGTCTACACCCACCTTCATTTTGGATGATGCAACGAACAATCCTCTCTACTGTGTCCTCATTCATGTCATCGTCCTCAGCTGAAGGATGAAAGAGGTTGGCAAGGAAGCAGGAAATGAGTCAGCTTTGAGGGGACATTACCTGGTGGCTTCTGTGGCTTATTGCTCAAGACATACCCCTTTACCTATTTGCCATCATGCTGGATGTTAGCATTTCAGTGGCCAGGGCAGAAAAGATACGGAAATCAATGGGAGCCCAAGAATACCATCAGTGGGCCCTTCCCACTAATGCTGCCTTCTCTAGCCTTGCTTTCAGGGTGGTGTCACCCCCACTTGCTGACTCAAGAAAGCATTACTAGGTCTCCTGAAGGCTTGGTCGGTTTGGCCTGGGTCTGTTGGCCAGGAAGGCAGAAAGAGGTGTGGGGAGAGGGGTAAGGGAGAAAGGTGACTGAGCCAGGTTCTAGGCTCCTCACTCACGGGGCTGGAGCTGGGCGTCGTCAGGCTCCGAGCCCCTCGAGGTGCGACAGCGGTACCCCTTCTTCTTGAGCACGTGGCAGATCATGAAGCCTACAAGGCCCATGAGGAAGAAGACCAGCACAAGCAGGAAGAGCATGTACAGCCCATGTTGGGGCGGCTCCAGATCAGGCTGTGGTTCCGACATGAAGCCCTGGGGGGCGAGCGCGGGCCAGGGCGCCTCCTGGGGTTAGGGGGCTGCAGCTAGGGATGTGGGGAGGGATAGGAATGCCGTCCTCAAGATCCGAAACAGGCGAGCCTCCCAGGTCCGGCCCCACCCCCTACCCAACCAAGGAGCTGTCCGTGTCAGGGGTGCTGGTCCGGACCAGGGGTGCCAGACGGCGGCTGCGCAAGCCCTCTTCCACGACCCTGGTCCCGCTTCCCCGACGCCCAGAGGGTTTCCCTTTCCAGCTTGTCCTGCGCTTCCGTCCCTCCCAAGGACACTGCAGAGTGAGATGGGACGGAATTCTCAGGCGGCCGGCGCAAGAATCCCACCTGAGTCAGCGTTCGCACCTCCTCCGCGCCGGCCTGAGCCAGGCCTCTGCAGCCCACTCCCCTGCCTGTACTCCCGCACACCCCTCCCTTTCGATTCCTCCCATCCTGACCGCCTGGCCCACCCGGTACCGGTGGTTTGGTTCTGGCTCCGGCTCCGGCTCGGGTTCCGGTTCCAGGGGCGTGCTAGTCCGGCTCAGGGCCCCCGACGCCCTCCCGGGGCTCATCCCTTGCTTCCTCCCCCTCCCCCCTTCGCCGCCTCACTGGCTCCGGGCTGCGGCTGCAGATACCGGTGCCGCGGCAGGCGGGGGGAGGGAAGGATGGAGAAGGATGCGGGCTGGTTGGGAGCGGCGGCAGGCTCTGGACAACTCCGGCCCTGGGAAGGGGAGGAGTTGGGGGGCGCCGCAGTCGCCCTGCTTCCCAAATGCCCTCGCCCGTCGCCGGCCCAGGACCAGGGGGCGGAGCGCAGGTGTGCAGGGCGGAGAGCTAGAGCCTTGCGCGCTTGTGAGCGCAAGTGTGGTGCGCGCGTGACTGCGCCGGGCCCCCCTCCCGGGGGAGTGTGCGGCGCCAAGTCTGGGTCCTGGTCCGGGTAGGGACGACAGGCAGTCAGGCGAGAGTGCTCTCCACTAGTCTATCCGGCACGCCTGGCGCGGCTCCCGCCCTCAGATGCCCAGGCCGGGTGGATAGCCGGGAACCTTCCCAGCGGGCCGGGGAAGTCGGCTTTCTGCACCCGAGAGGGACAGCGTGGCCGGTTCTCCGGAGCCTCCTAGAGAGGTGACCACGGCCTGCGCCCCGTTTGGGGCAAGTGGCTGGATGGGATGGCTCAGCTTCCCGAGGATATGACCCCCGCCTGGAAGGAAATGGCCCTCGCATCCTAGGACCAATGCTCCCCGTCCTCCGCCCAGGCCCAGACGCTCACGCCCCAGAACCTAGAAGGGCGAAGCAGGGCAACTGCTAGAACTCCGCAGGGGGCGTGGTCTGGGCGTGGGCGTGGTCTAGGGGAGGCGGGGCCTGGACCTCCCGGTTCCGCAGAGGCCGGCTGCGTGCCTACGCAGCACGTACGACGGGGGGTGGGGCAGGCGGCCCGGCGGGTGGCGGAGGCGCGGGGCCTGATCCCGCCGGAACCATGGCCAAGACCGTGGCCTATTTCTACGACCCCGACGTGGGCAACTTCCACTACGGTGAGGGAAGAAGGTTATGCGCGAGGGGTTTCGGGACGCGGAGGTCTACAACTCTAGGGATGGGAGCTGACGAACTCTCTTCTCCCACCCCCCAGGGGCAGGGCACCCTATGAAGCCCCATCGCTTGGCATTGACCCATAGTCTGGTCCTGCACTACGGTCTCTATAAGAAGATGATCGTGAGTCCCGTCGTCTCTGCTGGGATTTGAGGGTGGGGGCGTGCTGTGGCCCTAGGGGTAGGTAGGCTGCACTGAATGCACCAAGTACGACCCACCCCTGAAGTGGGGGGGGGCTGGATAGAAGGAACCAGGAGCATCCCCCATATGCGAAGTGTTGGTGGGTGCATCCCCTGACTTAATAGGAGTTACTTTTTCACCTTAGGTCAGCCACCCTTTGACCTCAGGTGGACCAACCTTTGACCTAGGTTAGGGTGGAGTGGGGCTGGTTTGAAGACAGAAGGTGTTTTCCTCCCTCGCATTTTAGGATGTGGGCAGTGCTGTGGCCTCAGGAAAGGGAGAGGGGCTGGATCACTGAATCTGGGTGTGAGGTTACTCTCAGTTCCCACCCCTTCTCTGCCACCTCTCTCCGCCTCCAAGGAGCTAGAGCTCCAGGGAGGACTCTGCTGCCCTGTGTGTGAGTGTGTATGTGTGTGTGGAGGAGAGCAGGAGATGTCCTGAGTATTCCCTTTCCAACCTAGAATACCCCTACATGGGTAATCACTACCCAACCCTCACATGCTGTCTGTCCCCACCTTAGAATTTACTGCTGTGATATGCAATTATAACAGTTAAGCTCAGCCCTTATGCATTACAAGGGGAATTAGTCAACAGTATGAGTGTCTACTGCTTGTGCCGAGGCACAGAGAAGTGAACTGGTCGTAGAAAAGACTGAGGTGATGTTAGTGCATGAATCTATGAATCCCTTGAAATTTAGTCTGCCGCTGTATGTACCTGTGTGCATTTTTTGGGGAGAGAAAAGCTTTTTGTTCTGTCCAATTTCTAAAGAAGTGTGTAAACGCCTCAAAAGATAATAAATCTCTGGCTAAGCACCTTGGCACTTTGGGTTTTAGTTAGAAGGTTGTCATATATCCCATATTATTTGACTCTGAAATTAAGAACTCAGAGGAGAGAGAGGACAGAATCAGAGTCCAGGGGTGGAGAGGACTATGGAAAGAAGCAGGAATAGGAGATCCGGGGAACAGGGCAGGTGGATCAGGGCTCAAGGTTGAGAAAGTAGGAAAGGCTGGACTGGAGGTGAGAAGGAGAAGCCAACCCCCATGGTCTTTAGGGGGCTTGACCATAATAAACCACCTGGCTAATTGGAGCTTCTCTTCTTCACCGACCTTTGCCTCCTAGAATAACACGGCTTGAGGGGTCAAGGGATTGCTGTATGTAGTTTTGGACAGTCCCCAGGGCTGGGTTCAGTGTGGGTGGTCTCAGTCCCATTAGTGGGACTGACCCTGCCTGGGTTCATCTTGTGTTTCCATCCTGAGGTCTTCAAGCCATACCAGGCGTCCCAGCATGACATGTGCCGCTTCCACTCAGAGGACTACATCGACTTCCTGCAGAGAGTCAGCCCCACCAATATGCAAGGCTTCACCAAGAGCCTTAATGCCTTCAACGTGGGCGATGACTGGTGAGGGGAGGACTGGGACTTTTGATGCCAGGCACTTTGATGCCAGGCATTTCAAGGAGAATACTTGAGTGAGGTCTTGTGGCAGCAGTGGGAAGACAAGAAGAGGCCTACTTGTCAGTGAATCATCATTTACCCATTTGTTTATTCAACAAATATTTACTGGTCATTTGCTGTAGGCCAGGTCCTGTGTTAAGTGTTGGGGATGCAATGATAAACAACAGCAGCAATATTTTAATATTATAGTTGTGCTAAGTCCTATGAAGAAGAGGCACATGACAGACCATGGGAGTGTATATGTGGAAGAATTATCCAGCTTGGGAGTGGGCTAGTCAGTGGAGGCTTCCTAGAGGAAATAATGAAGATTGAGCTGAGATCTGAAGAAAGAGGAGGAGGAGGTAATTAGGTGAAAGGTGGTTGGGAAGATAGAGAGTAGGGACAGGAATGTTGTGGGCAGTAGGGAGAACATGTGCTAAGGATCTGTGCTAGGATAACGTGTAACTCATTTGAGGAACAGAAAAAAGGCAGACCACAGAATCTGAAGAGAATAGTGATCTGAATTGAGGTTAGAGGTAGGCAGGGCCTTTAAAAAGTAAACAGCCCTATTATGAATTGGGGTTTTTACCCCTAGAATAGAGGGAAGTCATCGAAGTATTTTAAAAAGCAAGAGGGTGATCTGACATGATCAGGTTTACATTGAGCTTGTATCATAGCAAGAAGACTCAGAGTTAGGCCCTGTGGGGAAGGGAGTGGACAGTGACGATAAGCCATGATCCTTGCTTACATTCTAGTATACATCCATGAAAATACAGTGACCATAACAGCTACCTTTACTCAGTTTATTTTTAAACTTTTTATTAGGGAAAATTTCAAACATTTCTGAGAGTAGACTAGCACAGTGAACCCCCACATATCCATCACCCAGCTGCCACACTTATGAGCAAATGGGCAATCTTACTTCATCTGTATCCTCTTATGTTAGTTAGATTATTTTAAAGCAAATCCCAGATGTCATATCCTTTTATCTGTAAATCCTTTATTGTGTATCTCCAAATGATACTCTTTAAAAAAAAACCACACAATATCATTATGGCATCTCAGAAATTACCAGTAATTCCTTAATATCATTGAATTTGCAATCAATATTCAGATTTCTTCAATTGTCTTATAATTTTTCTTTTTTGCAGTGGAATTATTTAAATTAGGATCTAAACAAGGTCCACACATTGCATTTGGTTGTATGTATTCCGCCTCTTAAGACTTTTATTTTATTTTATTTTTTATTTATTTATTTATTTTAAAGATTTTATTTATTTTATTTTCCCCCCCAAAGCCCCAGTGGATAGTTGTATGTCGTAGCTGCACATCCTTCTAGTTGCTGTATGCGGGACTCGGCCTCAGGATGAACGGAGAAGTGGTGCCTCGATGCGCACCCGGGATCCGAACCCGGGCCACCAGCATCGCAGCGCGCGCACTTAACCACCAAGCCACAGGGCCGGCCCTTAAGACTTTTAATCTGTAATGTTTCCTTTTCTTCCTTGAATTTATTTCTTGAAGAAACCAGGCTGTAGATCCTGCAGTTTCCTACAACAGCTACCATTTATCGAATGCTTACACTGCTATGCTGGGGATTGCTGGTACATCCACTAAATTCTCACACTAACCCTGAGATATAATATTCCTTTTCCTGATGTTAGGCATAAGTAAACTGGAGTTTCAGGCGATTTAGGTAACTTAGCCTGAGTCACATAACTAGTCACTGCAGGTGGCAGGATTCAAATCCAGACCCCAGGTTTTTAAACACGACACTAATCTGGTTCCCTGAAAGATCCTACCAATAGAAGCAGCCTGGGCTGGAGGACAGAAACGAACTCCTTAGGCTGGCATTGAGCACCTTCCCAACCTTATCCCCATACCCCTGCTGCATAGAGTCCCTTCCTACAATGCCCTTTGTTCCCCATTCAGCCTCTCCAAGGCCTTCCCAGCCATCACACCACCATGAGGCTTCACACCATGAAGCCTTTCTTGACCACACCAGCCACAGAGGTCTGTCCTGCGCATGCTGCACTGCTCATTTGGTGTTCAGTCACATGCTATCTTGGGAAGTTCTTGATTTCTTGTTATTGCTGCTGCTGCTACTTCTGAGTTCACTTTATAGGTCTGGGAACGCAGAGTCAGCCCTCAGGCCACAGCTGGGGCCCTGTGAATGCTCTTTGTGCAGTTACACAATACTACCACTGGGTCCTCGGCAAACTTAAGCTACATTTGTGCTTATCTGTGCTTCAGTTGAGAATCAGGGATTTTCCTTTTTTTTCTTTCCTTTTAATTAATTTATGATTGTTTGCAAAGTAATCTAATATAAAAAGCCAAATTGGACTATAAGGCTTTTAATGGGGGAAAAAAAAAAGTAGTCCCAGACCTGTCTCTCCCCACTATAAATCCCTTTCCCCAGTGGCAGCCACTTTCAGCTTCTTTAGCTATTTCTTCTGGTATTTATCTTTGGATTTCAAAATAATAATAGTAATCTACTGTTGTTACTAATAATCTGTAATACTTAGGTAATGCCTACTATGTGTCAGGTACTATTCTAAATGCTTTACAGCCATTCGCTCATTTAATCTCAACAACCCCTATGAGGCAGGGTCTATTATTGTCTCCTTCTTACAGACAAGACACTTAGGCACAAAAAGGTTAAACAGCTTGCCCAACCTCATGATCATTAGTAGGTGTTAAACAGTCAAGGTTTGAACCTAGGTAGTCTGGCTCCAGAATCTGGGCTCTTAATCATGCTATCACATTGTGCTGCCTCTTATAACTTGCTTATATTGCTATTTCTTCATTTATCAGTTTTAGGCATTGTCTGTCAAGCTCTTAGTATGGGAGATGAGCATTTAGTCTCTTATACCATCATCCTGGCTTTCCCTCCCCTCCCAGCTTCACAATATAGTTATATCACAATTTTTATTAAATAAGTATTCTGTGTTTACATTATTATAACTTTGAAAAATTCATTTACTATGGAGCCCAATAGTATACTATGATTTAATCTTTTTTCTTGTACAACTTTCTGTTTTTCCTGGAGCTGATAATTGCATTGTTTTTTCATTTGTTTAGTTTTCTAGGTGTCAAT